GAAGACGAGACTCCTTTTCACATGGGTTTTAAGTTTGTCCTCGTATCTGTGCTTGATTTTTACCAGTTTTGTGTAGATCTTAGGTTTCATATTTTAAATTCGAATTCTACATTGTAAAGTTTGTGTACAATTTGTCCTGAGGCTTGGTATTTGGCTGCACCTGCATAAGCTGCTACAAGTAGAATAAAGAATTTCATAGCCTGTATCTATCATCTAGATGCATGGTAAATGGGCTTTGCACATAATGGGTTTAGAGCTGACTGGGAACAATGGAAGACTAAATTAGAAGTGGTTGTAAGTTTTTTCTACCATCTTGTGAACGGTTTCTGAAATAAATAAAAGCAGTTGGTGTATAATATATTCCTTTTGCCTTGTAACTTTTACTTTTCTAGTGGTTTTAATTGTTCTATGTACCAACTGACTCTGAGGTGGACATTTTACAAACAGGGAGGCTGAAGCTGCTTTAAGACGTGGTTTTAGATAAGTAACAATTGTGTGCTGAGTAGAAGAAGTCTTCTCTTGAAATGAGGTTATGAGTAAACGAGCATGGGGGAGGCCACAGCCATGACCCCACTGTATGAAGAAAATAAAGAGGGTTTCTGAGTGCAATCAAAAAATGTCAAAACCTCTTAAATTAAGATGATTAAATCCCCCAATAACAGTATCTTATAAAAATGATCATGATGCCTGGCAACTTACAGTTGCATTAACATAGTTTGTAAAGAGATTGAGATTAGCATTGTACTTGACAAAGTGTTTTGACCTCAAAGCAACTAAATGTAGCTGGGTTTGTTGCTTGTTCAGCAGCTTCATTTTTTGTCATTGTTGCTTAAACTGTTAAGGTCTTGAGTTTCCCAGATGCAATCCTGTTCCATTTTGTATACTTTTAATTTTAAAAGTCAAAAAAATCTTAAGTAATTATCAGGTATAGCTATGTTATTTCCTTACAGTATTAAGGAACAGTGTGTCAGTTGCTGTTAGCCACTTTTATGGTGTAGTTCCTTTCCCTCTTGAGTAGAGGAAGCTGAAAGATACCCCTAATTTTCTTTACAAAGCTGAAGGGTAGCTTAAATGTCAACAGTTATCCAAGCAACTATTAACCAGTGAGATTATAGGGACTCACTCCAAGATTTTCTGTGCACTTTGGTAGGCATTGGCATGTTGCTGAACATCCTTGTAATAAATTCTAAAACTGAAGCAAGAATAGAATACTGTTTGACCTGTATTTCAGTATTGATTTGTACTGTGGCAGTCTCATCTAGTGAATCTTTGCTTATTTTTACTTACCAAAACTTCAAGTTGATTTTGCATGAAGCCATGGTTACGTGGTGATCCTTCTGGATTGTTTTGCCAAGAAGTCAATCAACTTAAGTTGCAGTGCTTAATAATTAACATACTTGTCTTCTGCTCTCATGTAATAGTTTTCTTTTTTTTTGTTAAGCAGTGAATATATGCTAAACTTGTATCTTCTGATCTTCAAATTGTTAATTTGTTTTGGGAGGGGATTCATGGTAACTTCAGTGGCAGCACGCTGAACTGAAGGGGGTAAGGGAATGTAGAGCTCGTCGCTGTAGTGTGAGTTAGTTCAGTTCTGTTTGTCTTTGTAGTCAAGTTTGTTTTGTTCACTTAGGCTTCTGACAGCAGCATCTTTGTGGTGGCTTTTTCAGAATTGCCTTTATTCTAAGCATCCTCTTCTCTGCTAAGAGGGTGCCCCTTTACTAAATTGTAGTGTAGTAAAAAATATATACGTTTAACATCTACACTGCCTCAGTTCCAATATTAAAGTTGCAAGTAATACTACTACAGTAACTAATGCTTTTTAGTTTACAGCTAAACTTCATTGCTTTACTACAGCTACTAGTACTTTAACTAGGTCAGTGTGATTGTCCTATGGAAAATAAACATTAGTTTAGTGTTGTCTAATAAACAGCTTCAACTAGAGCACTTAGTCCAAAGGCGCTACTGTAGACAAATGAGTATTCCCTGTGCTGGCAGAAGAAAATGTGATCACCAGAATTGTAGTAAAGCCACTTTAAATATTATTTTCATGTTTTCATATTGGTATCAAAAAGCTGAGAGAATAAAAAATGAGGTCTAGTCTAGCTTATTTCAGGACAAGTTTAGTTGCACATGTACAGTGACTAAGATGTGACCTAAAGTTGACTTTTATGGAAAGTCGTATTTCTCCTCTTGAATGTGCTTAATTTGCCGAAGTGTTTGCAGGTGAATATTTATTGATAAGCTGCTGCCAGTGGTGTGATTCTTGTCACCAAAAAATAAAAAGTAGCTTTGTTCTGCTGAAGATCTGTTTGCAAAGAAATTAAAAAGTACTCAGCGGAGCAAGATTACTATTTTCCCCCCAAACAGCAGTATGTCAGACTTAATATTCTAGAAGCCTTAGAAATTTCTGTATATTAAGGAGGTAGTTGAACATCAGGATTTTTTTTTTAGTTACTAACCCTTTTTTTAGCTATAGCCTTCCCGTATAGCCTTAGGCTAACGGAAGTTGAGACAATTGGTATAAAGGAGGTAGGTACAGAGTGATAGAAGCTTCCTAGCTTGGTCATACAAGAGCAACTTGAGTTGATAGAAAAGCTCTGCTTTGTTGGTGTATCTTGTGAATTTGCCTTGTTAGAGGGCCTGGAAATGCTTCCCCAGCTCTTGAAGTTAGCTTTGTGACTAAAAGGCTATTAAATTTAAAACCTCAGATACTTTAACAGAGCAGGCTGGATTAGACAATGAGCTATTTTGGTATTATCACTACCTCCATACCTAAACCCCAGCAAGGTCCACAACAAGGGTGTGTTGACCTGTTTTTCAAAGCCGTACCTAACACTATACTGGCTCCAGAAATTGTGCAATACTGCAATTACAAGTTCAGGTTCCAGTATTTGCTTTGTAATTTCATATACGTTAGCATAGTACAGGAGTGAAAGGTTAAATTATTCATGTTGAAATATCCATTTGTCTTCAATAATCAGAAGCAGATACCATGGTGATATGATGCTCATCAATTTATGTTAAAACTGATGAAGATTAAACTATTAATTACTCACAACTAAGTTTTCATTAATGATTTAAAGTGAAGACACACTATAGATTTGTGTGTAATTTGAATGAAAGGCTTATTCATCTGTTTTCTTGCTACCAAGTGAGAGTAGGCGTATTTTTTAATAGTCCAGGTTTAAATGTGTATTTTAACTTCATGTTCTTTACCGTTGTCTTCCATGTCCTAGAAAGCTTTTTCCTTAATTGAAATATCTGATCATGGTTTCAGGAACTGTGGTGGTTTTACTCAGGTGGGCAGCCGAGCTCCACCACAACCACTCTCTCACTCCCCCTCTTCAAAGAGGAACGGGGAGAAAATAGGATGGAAAGGGCTCAAGGGTTGAGATGAGGACAGGGAGATCGCAGCAGTAATTATTGTGATGGGCAGAACAGACCCATGGGAGATGGTAAGATTTATTGCCTATTACTAACAAGCTAGAGAAGTGAGAAACAAAGGAAAGAAACCAAAAGCACACCTCCCCCAACTGTCTTCTTCCACCTCCTTTCCCTGAGCGGTGCAGGGGAATGTGGTTTATGGTCAGGCTGTAGCGCTTCTTCTCTGCTGCTCCTTCTCAGTCACTTTCATCCCCTGCTCCAATGTGGGGTCCCTCCCATGGGATGCCGTCCTTGCTGAACTGATGTGGCGTGGGCTGCCCACAGGCAGCAGCTCTTCCAGAACTGCTCCAGCTATGGGTCTGTACCATGGGGTCCATCCCTCAGGAGCAAACTGCTCCAACCTGGGTCCTCCACGGGCAACAGCTCCTGTGTGGGCTCCTCTCCATGGGCTGCAGGTCTGGCCTCAAATCTGCTCTGGTAGAGGTCTCCCACAGGCTGCAGCCTCTGTCAGTGCAGGTCTGCCTGCTCCACCGTGGCGCTCCATGGGCTGTAGGGGGACAGCCTGCTTCACCATGGTCCTCACCACAGGCCACAGGGGACTTCTGCTCTGGTGCCTGGAGCACCTCTCCCCCTCTTCCTTCCCTGACCTTGGTCCCTGCAAGGCTGTTCCTCACTCCTCTCACTCTCCCAGCTGCTGTGTGGCACAGCATGGTTTTTTTTCCTGTCTTAAGTACACTCTCACAGAGGTGCAGACAACATCACTTATTGGCTTGGCTCTGGTCAGCAGTGGGGCCCTTACCAAACATGGGGCAGCTTCTAGATCCTTCTCACAGAAACCAGCTCTATGGCCCCCTGCTACCAAAGCCTTGCCACATAAACCCACTACACAGTAAAGTACTGAAATACAGGTTTGTTTCCATCAACTAAAAGAACTGTTAGAAGCTGGTCTTTATTTAAGTTTTAGAAGTACGTTTCTTCCATACTATCTTTTGTCACAGTGAAAACACTTTCACTGAAGTCACTACTGGCAGAGTAAAAGTCAAGAGCATCCTCAAGTTGTAGAAATAGTTAAGTAGTAACTGTGGGACTGGCATGGCAAAGAGATGTCAAGTCTTTCTTTTCAGTTACTCAAAAATACTATTAGAAAAAAGGTCCTTCAGAGGAAAGCTGAATTACCATAATCTAATATATTAGATCATAGCATAAGACTTAAGATTTGCTTATGTCAAATTTGCAAATATCACCAAATGAAATTACATGATTTTATTCAACTTTTTATTACAAGTTTTATGCAAGCACTTCAAAACATGCACTTCAGCTTAAGTCCTGAGTTGAACTCAAGGCGATTGTCAGTGGGAAGACCCCACGAACAGTAAACTAATAAAATAGTAACAATGTTGGTTGTGGCATGCATGGAAGAATGACCTTAAATAGCTCTATGTTACGTAAAAAAAAATATTAAGAATATCAGAGTTGAAACCTGTATTCTCCATCAATCTATTATTCACTTTATTATGAACTGAACTAAAATGTTAACTAAGCTTTTATGAAGCTGGGAAAGTGGAAGAATTTTCTTCTGCATTTGTATGCTTTACAGAGATAAGAACACATCACAGTTTAAGCTTTTGTATAAATTTGTATAAAACATTTATTGGGCAGTATACAGCTTTATTAAGACATTATAAACATTCTCTGAACACTTCAGGGGAGGCAAGCAAGAGATGTCATACAATCCTTGAGTCAGAAGACAGTTCCATTAATTTGGTTTAGCTGTGGCCTTTCCGTATAGTACAGTCAGCTCACTCTAAGGGGAGGGAAAAATAATTTAGTTCAAGGTACCAAACAGTTCTTATAAAAAATAGAAAAATCACCATTGTTAAATGCAAGTAGGGAGCAAGCACTCCCTATTCTCTACCTACAGAGGCAGGACCTTGATATAAAAATAAAGACAGCTTCTAGGTCTGTATCTTAACTCATTATAGCTGCATTTGAATTAATACCTGCAAGACTATAGTGATTAATATTCCTTAGGCCTAGATAGATACTTACTGCTGCAGATTAATTCATCTAAAAGTCTGTCTTTAGGAAAGTCAGGCACTATATGCAGCAAAGTTCTGTTCCATTTCATTCTGTTTGAAAACAGTTTACTTCCTTGAACCAAAAGTAAGATAGGTAGTATTTCGAATACAGCAGAGAATTATCAGGAGTAGTTCTTATGCAACAAGAGACACAGACTAATAGATTGTAACAAGAACTGAAACTTAGCTGTAGCTTTGTAAGTCACTGTGAATGGGATAGAGAATAGCAGCTTGCACCCAGGGAAGGACAGACAACAGAGCGATCTAGAAGGTAGAGCTTATGCTTTTGTTCTCCCCTGGACAGTTACCAAACTGCACATGCTTCTAAGTGTTCTTTTCTACATTATATATGTGCAGCACTTCTCCCCTCCCTGTTCCTCCCTTACCCTATTTCTCCCTCCAGCCTATGCCAACAAAATCAGGCTTAAACCCCAAAGGATTATGCACTTAGAGCTGAAATCTATAACAGTGTCTCACATGAAAATCTCAGATGAGGTGTTTGAATAATTGCGTGTAAAAGCCTACTGGTTTAAGCTTACCACTAAGTTATGAATATGCTGTACTGTATCTTGATTTAGTAGTTGCACATCAATGTTACGGAGGTCTCCACCAGCCATACAGAGGGTCTAAACATGAAGAGAAACAGTTTTAAGATGAAAAAACTACTCTGAAAGTTTTTATTTGCATGGCCTATTTTTCTGAAAGCCATGTGCTTCCTGGCTATGTTGTGGAATTTTAGGAATTGTTCTTTCTTTTGCATAGCAGCATCTCATTTAATGATAATAACAACTATTATTAGTATTACATGATTCACAGATTAGCTACTCTAAGTTGAAAAAACTTTTTAATAAGGTTTGATACCTGTCCATCAGCCAAGGGAATGTTTACAAATGGAACAGTTCTGTGTTGGGGTACTGATCTACTTCTTAGTAACATGCCTTGAACTCTTCCACTGGTAGGTGCAGTTCTCGAGACAGTCTGTTGTAGTCCAATACTAGAATAAAAGAAAAAAACATTACTTTAAGGTTAACTTCCTATGCTCTGTAGAATTTTACACATGAAATAAATGTATGTCATAGCAAACATACCTAACAAAAAGGCAATTGTGTTTGCCTCTTCCAGTGCTGCCAGAAGCACCACTAGGTAATGATGTATGTCCATGAAACACTGCAGTAACTAAGTCCTTGTTACAGGCCAGGGGGCAAGCTGACATTTGGACCTCTCACTAACAAGAATATCCACTCTTCAATATCAACACTGAATAAACAGTTTTGGGAAGAGGAAACTGCATGCCTCTGGGCTTAAGATAAGTCTATTTCAGAGGGAGGTAGTAAGAAATACTGAAGCTGCTAGCTCTGTGGTACAGGGCATGCCTTACGTCATGCAAAATAACTGAAGTTCTTTCTTGATACAATTGTTTATACTCCACAAAAATGTAAGGTTTGATTATCTTCTGCATGGCAACAAGTCTGACATTTATAGTAAGCCAAGGTGAAATGGTGAAAGGTGCTGGTTCCATGACCCACTTAACTATCAAGCTTCTTCTCTCTCTCCACCCACCGCAATCTGGTGACTTCTGCCAAAACAGAACTCTGTAGTATATGGAGAACGGTAACTGAAAATCTGGATGGTTCAATGAGGTCAGTTTATTTTTAAACACGGGCATGCATATTGGTCACATTTCAATCAAGCTTATGCTCTGAGAGGTAGTCTAAGCTGTAAACTATATCTTTAAAGAACGGTAGATGGGAATAGAAATTAGATTATAAATACATGTTTTGGTTTGTGTTTTTTTTTGTTTTGTTTTGTTTTTTGTTTTTGTAAATGTGGGTGTTAATTGGCTCACTTACAACACTGCATCCTGTACCTTCATGAAAACCTAAGTAAACACCCACACTCAAAGCAGATGTGACTGGTTCACATCCTCACTACCAAAGTTAATGGCAGACCATAAAGATCTAGTAAATCTAGAATAATGATTAATTAGTATCTACATTTATATTCATTTAGGTGTACAGGGTCTTGATACTCCTTACCTTTTAGATGTCTTTGGCGTGGCTTTTAAATTTGTAGCACTGCAATCAGAGGCAACAGTCTTAACAGCCTCAGAAGAGTAAACAGACCTGAAAAAGAATTAAAGTAGTGATTTGTTTCTTGGTTTGTTTTAATTTCCTCATCTATTTCTAATTTAGCTTGGATGAAGATAGGTGGTGAATTAGAGAACGTTAAAGTGTTCCATGATATATCTAGTTATATGTAAGTGAAAAAGCCCTCCTGAAGTAGACATATTAAAACCTAATGCCATAGGGGAATGAAAGGATTAGTTATATTAGTAGGTAAGGGAGGGCTGCAGTAGCTGATTTGGGGATAATTAAGGGATCACCCAGAACTTTGTGTGAAAGAGTCTCTTGGCAAGTTCCTTTTTCAGCAGATTTAATTTTACATGTTCTTAGGACATTTGTTCTGTGTGGTTGGCCTGCATATAGAGAATAATTTCTTTCCAGTTTTGGGTTTTAACTCCATTCACAGAAATTTGAATGACAGCAATATACTTCACAAGCTCCTTTTGCCCCCTTTTCCCACACACATTTTGAAGATAACTGTAAAGGCATGGTTTTGGACCAATGTTATTGTACTTGAATAAACACAGTCTTCAAAAACTGAAAAGCTAGACTTCCCCAGGCAAAGCGGCCTTCTGTATTTCGATTTCATCAAGCCAAAAATTCTATAATCCCAATTCAAGGAAATAATGTAAATATGGCTAAGACTTTCTAATTTCTTTTAGGCACCTGGATACATTATTTCAATTGTCTTTCTGAATACAATTTGAATGTATCAAAACAAGTGCCAGTGGGTACAAGTATATATGCCAGAGGTAGAACAGGAACATCTCAAAGAACTTTTTCATGCAGATACCCACTGTTTTTTATTTATTTTTAACCCATTAGATCTTATAGTGAGACTTGAATTTGGTCCATCATAGTATTATCTTGAAGGTGTTTTTGCAAGTATCTATTTCCCCACTAATGACAACTTCCTTTCAGCTATGTTACACAACAGTTTATTACTCATAACGAGAAGCAACAAAGATGTTTCCCTTACACACTCTATTCCACTAGGTATTTTGTTTGGAAAGCTGTACTGATAACTTTCACAACTGTGCACTGTTCAGTGGACAAGATCTTTTTGTCAGCTAGAGGTACTTTCTTGTTTAAGGTTCACATCGCTACAATATATCTGATACATGTTATTAAAGGCATCTGGATCAGATTTATTTTTATCAGGCTCAAATCTCAGCTACTTTATGTGAAAATAATTCTATTCAGTATTTATAAGTTCAAGTAAGTTACACAAGTTATAAAAGGCAAGACTTACCTAGACATAGGGTTCAGTTTGCTATTTAAACCAGAGCCCAATGAAACCAGTGACTTTGTTCTGCATACCTGAAAGTGTGCATATTATAATGCAGTTAACAGAAGTGGCATTCTAAGGCAACACAATAGGTATTTCCAGGGAAGAATACTGTAAGAATTCCCTGTTTAAAAAGAAGTTAAGCCCTATAGTGCTACCTTTTATAGTTTTACATATATTTAAAATGGCAGGTATGCATTCTAAAACAAGAGATTTTTTAAAATGTCAAACCATGTTTGTTCATACTGAAGTTCAGTACAAACAACAGCCTTTCTAACATACACCCTTCCAACTTGTAGCCTTCTTATAATTAATGCCTGTAACTCCACATATCATAGAATCATAGAATCATAGAATATCCTGAGTTGGAAGGGACCCTTAAGGATCATCAAGTCCAACTCTTGACACCGCACAGGTCTACCCAAGTTCAGACCATGTGACTAAGTGCACAGTCCAATCTCTTCTTAAATTCAGTCAGGCTCGGTGCAGTGACCACTTCCCTGGGGAGCCTGTTCCAGTGTGCAACCACTCTCTCTGTGAAGAACCCCTTCCTGATGTCCAGCCTAAACTTCCCCTGCCTCAGCTTAACTCCATTCCCGCGGGTCCTGCCGCTGGTGTTAATGGAGAAAAGGTCTCCTGCCTCTCGACACCCCCTTACGAGGAAGTTGTAGACTGCGATGAGGTCTCCCCTCAGCCTCCTCTTCTCCAGGCTGAACAGGCCCAGTGCCCTCAGCCGTTCCTCGTACGTCTTCCCCTCCAGGCCTTTCACCATCTTCGTAGCCCTCCTCTGGACACTCTCCAACAGTTTCATGTCCTTTTTATACTGTGGTGCCCAGAACTGCACACAGTACTCGAGGTGAGGCCGCACCAGCGCAGAGTAGAGCGGGACAATCACCTCCCTTGACCTACTAGCGATGCCATGCTTGATGCACCCCAGGACACGGTTGGCCCTCCTGGCTGCCAGGGCACACTGCCGGCTCATATTCAACTTGTTGTCTACCACGACCCCCAGATCCCTCTCTTCTAGGCCGCTCTCCAGCGTCTCATCGCCCAGTCTGTACGTGCAGCCAGGGTTTCCCCGTCCCAGGTGCAGGACCCGGCACTTGCTCTTATTGAACTTCATGCGGTTGGCGATCGCCCAGCTCTCCAACCTATCCAGATCCCTCTGCAAGGCCTTTCCACCCTCATTCGAGTCCACAACTCCTCCAAGTTTGGTGTCATCAGCAAACTTGCTCAAAATGCCTTCTATTCCTACATCCAGATCGTTTATAAAAATATTGAAAAGTACCGGCCCTAAAATGGAGCCTTGAGGGACATATAATCTTTTTGCTTTTGTTGAGTCATCATCTTTACACTTACATCAGTGTCTGGCTGAGGCACTGCACAGAAGGACTGAGGTGGTAAAATTAATACACCTTTGCTGTTTGTTTTGGAGAGCAATGTGGATAAAGTATGTAAGTCATACAAACATAGAAAAACATTTATTCTAATACAAGGTTCAGTAACTAGAATAAGTTTCAACAAAACACGATTCCTCAAACCATCAAGACTTCAAAAATCAAGAGAGAATGACTACTTCAGTACTTGAAAGTCTGAATGAATTACTGAAAGTGCAGATCCCGTATTTTATTTTGAAGTTAACACACTATGCAGTTTAGCCTGGCTTAACTTACTTTAAATTGAATTTAAAGCAATTGACTTTTCAAACGAACAAGCAACAGGTCATTTGCCTGCCTGGTTATGGACCTAACAGGGTTCATAGCAGTTCTGATTAGACCCTTATGTTGTTTATTTAGGACAAACTTACTTTTTTAGATATTTTCTTTGCAGAAGTATGCTTGGCATCTTCATATTCAACAATTGTAGTTACCTTAACTGGAAATATATTAGAAAGAGGAGGAAAATAAAGACCTCATGAAGATCATAAAACACCATTTTTTTTTCCTTTAATGCTATTTATCCACTCAGAGTTATGTATCAATTCTGTTATTTGATGGTCATTTGCCTGGGACAGAGTTCAAAGCAAATTGTGTGTTTGTCACAGACATGGTGACGCACTGGATCGTTAAAAGGCACTAGATAACCCTTTAACCCCCAGATAAAATTGAACTGCATTTCAGTGGTAGTGTCCTTCTTATCACAGTTTGGAGTACAAAGAGGAATGGTACTTTCCTTGCAAGCTTCAGGTCAAAGCAGAATCTATGAGATAACATGGCAACATTCCCAGCTCCTCTGCTATACTGTGATGCACTGACAAGTCACTTAAATCTGTCTCTTCTCACTATTTTCAGTGATAAATCCAAAGAGTGGGAAACTCTCATGTTTTCAAGTACCTCAACAGCAGCATAGCTCATGATCCTCTGCACCAAAAACTGGTGGGACCTGTATGTTATACTTCTAGCTACACACTTTTATATTCTCCAGGTTTAACATTTGCAAATAATCAGTTGAAACCACTAAAATCACACAAAAATTAAGAGCAAAAATATATATTAGTAGAGTGACTTGCCTTTTTTGCTGTTGGTCCTCATCAGTTTGGGATTTGGTACATCTTCTAGAGAAGAGTCACTCTACAAAATGTTTATCCAACAAAGAGGTCAATAGTTTTTACCCAGCAAATGCATATTATCTTACAGAAGGCAGTGAAACAAAGGGGCATAGAAGTAAGTGACAGAAGTAGGATTGGCTAAATGCCAGCTTGTTTTTCAGGAACATCCGGATTGCTGCCTACAGATGATCCTAAATCTCTAGGTAGTGTTCATAACCGCACCATGCCTGGCTGCGTAGCCTTTTCATCTCATCTTTTTAAACATATAGCCAAACAAAATCATTTGCCTGAAATCTTTATAGTAGGAAAAAAAGATCTCCAGTCTGCAAGGTGCGATACACTTACCACTGCAGCAGCAAGAGCCACTTCCTCCCTTCCTTGCAAATCTGTAACACAAGCAAGTATAACCTGTTCATATACTATTTCTTGCATAATTATTATCTGCAGGTTCTTATCTTATAGACTGTGAAACTGAATAAGTAATTCCAGATTGCAGTTGCTTAAATAGATAATCTTAGGTAACAAGTCCTTTAGGATAGTCAGTTCACTAAACAATAATAAAGAAAAATCTTCGGCTACTTCAGTACATTTAGTCTTTAAAAGTATACTAAGCTTAGTCACACAGTATGTAGCCTGACTTCAGAGAACATTTTTTTTAAAAAAAAAGCATTGCACTGCTGAAAGCCAATGCTTTTAGGTAGAAGCTTTCAAGAAAGGCATTCAAATGTGCATTCAGCACAAAGGCTTACAGTAAGTTCAAGGTCTACAAGAGTCAGGTCTGATCTTTGTGTTGCCCCTGCAACTTCAGCTGCAAGGAAGATTCCAAAAACATCAGTTCTCAGCAGAATATACATCTGATGCTGAGTGTCCACCACAGCTTAAAATGCTGCATAAAAATGAGGTTAAAATCAAAGTTGTTCATGCATCACCACCTATAAACACTACATGAGAAAAGCTCAATAGTCAAGGACTTCAGATTAACAGAAAGACAAAACAATCTCTGGGGCTAGGATGAACATGTTCAGATGAAAAGCAGTTCTTAAGTTTTTAAGCACAGACACTACTAAAAACTTGTAATCACTCCTTGTCTCTTCAGGCTCTAAGTAAGATGACTTAAGAGCACAAGAAAAAGACAACTCCAGACCAAACTGTTACCTACTAATTCTACACCCTGCGTTACACAGATCAGTCTACCTGAATGAGAGTATTGACCGGTCACCTGCAATGTAACACCGCTGCTGATCAGCTTAAAATATTCAGCAGGCAAAGAAACCTTTTTCATAAAAGTCCCCCAGCTTGCAGCTTTTTCTCACATTAGTCAAGGGCACACATGGAAGTTCTGATGTCTGATTTGCTCACAAATACCAAGTGCTTTGATCACACATACTTACTAAGCAAGTCTTTTCTTTTCATTTTTCTGATGGCAAGTGGTATCTTCAGCAACTCCACTGTGAACGCCTTCTCAGCCGTTTGCAAGAGCGCATCAAGCTCTTTCTTCATTTCCCGGATGCTTTCCTTAGCTTTAAAACAAAACCGGCTTTTATTGCCACACGTGTTAAATATTTCCGAGTAAAATCACTGCTGGATCACATAAAACAACTTCATGTTTTCGATAGGGTGACTTGACTTGGAGTCAAAGAGATTTGCAAGCAAGCCTCCAGTTCAGGCAGCTCCGTGCAGCTGCACCTATTTCCGAGCGGCTCGATGCAACACTGACATTAATAACACCAGAGCACGTTACCCTCTTGCCCACCTTCTAAGGAGAAGCGTGGCAGCACCGCAGGCGGCGCAGAGACTTAAAACGGGCACACTTACCACCGACGAGCACCCCGACACCACGAACGCCTCAGGCCGGCAGCGGGGGAAGGCGCCCAGGCCGCGGGGCCCCTCAGCAGCCCCGGGCCCCCGCCCCCGCCGCCAGGGCGGCCCCTCACGGAGCGGCGGCGCCCGCGGGGGCCGTTGCTGGGGCTCTGAGCTCTGCCCACCCGGCCCCGGCGGGTCGGGCCCCGGGCCCCGGCCCTACCCTGCTGCTCGAAGTCTCTGAGGAAGAGCGCGGTGCGCTGGGCCTTCTTCTCCTGGGACAGCGCCCCGCGGTCGGGCTCCACGCCCGAGTCGGTGCTGCGCCGTTTGACCGGGGGCTTCCTCACGGGCATGGCTGCGACCACCCAGGGACAAACGAGCGGCTCCTGACCCCGGGAGCTTTCCGAAGCGCGGGGGCTTCTCCCCACCTGCCTCCCCCCGCTCCGCCCCGGAGCCGAGGCGGGCACGCCCTGGGGGCGGCCGTAACGGGCGGCCCCGGCCCCCGACACTGGAAGTACCGGGGGGCCCTGGCCGGCCTCGTCGGGAGGGAGAGGGGAGGCGGCGAGGACGTCCCGGGGAGCCCCGGGGAGCCCCGGGGCCAGGCACGGCCAAAGAGGCGCAGCGGGGACGGGGCTGCCGCGTCCTGACAGGAGCCGAGCGCGGCAGGCGGGCGGGTTAGGCGCGCACAGGCGCTTTCTCCTGGTGGAGAAAAATGAGAAATTCCTCCTAAAACACGCTTTTATGAATTGCTCTGAAGCAGGCGCTGCTGGCCGCTGCACTGGTGGTGGTGGTCCTGACGGTACTGGTAGTGCTGGAGGCCGTACTGGTACTGCTGGTACCTGTGGTGGCGGTGCGGCTGCCTGGGGCGGGCGCTGGGAAGCCGCGGCCCCGTACCTCGTTACTTCACTGCTCGTCCTGCCGCAAGGCGTTATGCAAAGCCCTACAGTTTGTGTAAGCTCTGACCGGGTGAAAGGAGCAAAATGTAATGGTGTGGAGCGTCAAGGATACACACAGTACTGAATGTATTAAAATATTCAAAGGAATATTATTAAAAATGTAATTCCTTGTAGAAATGTGTGACCTTACATGAATCTAAATAATAATAATAAACACACCAGAGGTTTAAGTATTTTAGGTTTTATACAAATAACCTAACCTGTATTCTTTATTGAATGAGGACCTGCATTAAAAGGAATTTAGATAATGTTGTAAAACACTAGGGTTTTCTTCATACAGTGTACACAATTCATGTTGTAAGCTCTCTGAAGTTAGTAGGTTCTTCAACTCTTCTTGTGACTGGCATGACCTCAGGATCTACTGAGCCAGATGGGACGGACTACATCACTCAAACAAACCTGTGAACTCAGACTGACAACTCGTAGTATCATTTTAGATCAGACCATGTTCTTGTTTGTAAAGCAAACAACCCCACCACAATGCCCCCAAAGAAGTGCCCCCAAGTAGATGCTTCAGCTCCAGAAAACACTCCAATACCTGACACAAACAAGGATATAGCCAGCTTTTGCTTTTGTTTTAGTGGTGCAGCTATACGCACAAGCAGGACTAGCTTCCCTTTCCCTAAACTGTATTTTCTTTTGAATTACCAAACATCGCTAAAGATATTCTGAGGTATCACTGCAAAAAAAGACAAGATCATCTTGCTCGGTATGTTTAATCTCATACAAACCATGTAATAAGACTTAAAAAACAAAAACAATACCAAACAATCCCCTCACCAAACCTTTCAGGCCACAATTGTTCAGTCTTAGTCAAGACTGATCCTCTCTATGAAGAAATAAATCTGTTTTGCTTAACTCCTGGTTACAACTCCTTAGAGAAAAATATTTGATTAATTATGAGTATGTCTAAGATCATCTGCATGTTCAATTCTGCATTGCTGAGGAATAGTTTTGTGACAACAAGTCCGTCAAATTTCTAATCCGTGAACTGGAGCAATGCATAAATCAATGGTCTAATACATGGATTAAAGTAAATACTATTTCCAACATGAAGTTAAATGCTTCAAATTGTGTAATCCAGGAAATCTTGTTTCAGTAACATAGGAAATGGAGAACTATTGCTCTTTCTTCTTTTCTTTTCTTTTTTTTTTTTAAACATGTGCTTTATTGTTTGGAATTCTCATACATCTAAAGTACCATTATAAGGAGCACCTGTAGGAAAATCAAACCTAGAAGCATGCACTTGAAAGTAAGGATTGTCTGTTATTAATCAAATATTTCATAGACATTGAAAATAAACCTCCTTTCTTAGCTTTACAGGATTGACCCACAAAATGCACATCTACCTTATCACAGTACATACAAATATTGTGGATGGACAATAGAAATCACCACTCTTCCATATGAGATGCATCAAGAACAAAGCGTTATTTCTTATAATGTCAGAAACATAAAAGGCACCATAATAGAATGTTAAAAACAAAACAAACAAAAAAAAAACACTTCAGTTTATGCCATTATATTTTGGTTTAAAACTGTAAGAATTGCGGTCCTGACTTAAAACAAAAAGCCTTTGACACCTGTAAAGTATCATTAGAAATTTGTAAACCTTTACATTTTTCCAGAAGTATCAGGTGCAAATGCAAGGCAAATATAAAATCTATCCACTTATTAAATTACAAATACTACCCCAATGAAAAAGCTGTAGTTACAAAAATATAAAAAATATTCTAACTCCCATTGTTAGATTTTAGTTTCAATCTACAAGTTTCAATCTACAAGTCGAAAGCCAGATCTGATTTAGACACATTTCTAGACTAGGAAAGCGCTGTTTGTCATATTTTTAAATCAATGTTCTAACCTCTTACTACAGTTTTGCTTTATAAATTTGATTTATTAGTGCATGTTAAGGATGCCAAGGGGAGAGTGCTAACAGATAAAAGCTTGCATTTATCAATGGATAGTAGCAATGTAAGTGTTCCCTGTCTGCTGTCCTCCCAGAAATCATTTCACCCATTACAGATGAAAGTAAATTTTTTTGTGAAATGTTTTTTCCCCAAGCTTCCATACATACATACTTTGTGTAGCAGCATGTGATTTTCATTTTTGAACCTGTGTCCACTGGTAGACGATTGAGAAGTGCTAAGTTTTTTCTCACAACCTTCTGTGAGGAGCAGTGAGAAGTATACCAACTGCTAATGCTACGTCATAGCCTAGCAGCTGCTGTAGCAAGGACAATTATTGTCAACATCTCTGTCTTCTACACATAATGGTTTGGCACATCCTTTATCCATATCTTGATTCTCTAGCCCTTGGCTTTAGTATTACCTGGATCAGCATAGGATGCTGAAGCAGCTACAAAGGCAGCCTAACAAAGTGCTGGTAGACATTAAAATGAATTTACTTTAATCATTTAATGACTAGATGAAATGGGATATTCTTAATGAATAATCTCCATGAAATGCTGAGCCTAAACCTGACAAATGTTAATGCTTTCATGGCTGAATACTGGAAGGAAGCTATGTTTCTTCAGTACTTTACCAGTGCTAGCAGAAGGCATCCGGCTTCCATCTCTAGGCAAACTGAAGCCTTCTTTCTCTGTTTTAGTGGAACTAGCATGGATTAGTGGAGTAAAACAGCTGTACTCCTAGATGATTACTTGATTTAGCTGTGTTTTAATAAGAGTACAACAGTATATGAAGAAGAAGCTAATATTCCTCATTATGTTTCAGTTTCATACAAATAGGGTTCAAACAGACACCATATTCACTCCTGTGATCAAAACTGTATATTCACTCTGATTATGCTGTGATGGCAGGATTTCTTTTTAACAGAAGTTCAAAGGTATCTACACACATCTGCCAGTGATTTTTTTTAAATAAGCATGCTGTACCTACACGTTTAATCAGATCCAGAGAACACTTCATACTTAAAAACAAAAAAGGAAAAATCCAGTACCTTGTAGTACCTTGCAGTAGGCTTCTGAATTTTTGTTTAGAATTTTAAGATGGGAATCATGTTCCTAGCTAAACAATTGCTCCAAGCATTTCTGTCTTATAAAAACAACAACAACAACAAAAACACCTCCCCAAAAAACAGTAGTAGATGTCATGACCAACTCCTTTCCCCAGCCTGTTGAGTCAAAAGTTCAAGAATGTAACTTCCAATCAAGGCACAAAATCATTTACTGACTCCTTCCACCGTTCTCTTCTCATTTTCCCCTTCCTCTTGAAAGAAAAAAAAAAAAAGTTGGTGTAACAATGTCGTATATTAACAGACATTAAATTCAATCCAGTAAGTCTTAGCTGTATCTGAAATAAGTTCTGTCTAGTTTGAATTTAGTTTAATTAGATGAACAGCACATTTTCAGCAGATTCTTGTTCATTTTCTGCGTTCACCTTGACGGGGAGGGGATGGAGGAAAAAGCCACAGCAGTTTCATGCATATTTTTCAAGAAACTTTATGTGGAAGTCTTTCATTTTCTCCAGTAGGATCTTCAGCTTTTCTATCGGAGGAAGTATGGTCATTCTGAAAAATAATATTTAGAAGAAAAAAAATATATATCCAACATTGTCTTCAAAACAAACTGATGTGTAATCTTGACACAGATGTTGACTTATCTCAGGGCAATGCTAGTAATATGTAAATCTAAATATCTGTTTTGATGTGGTGCTCTAATTTTTTGCATTTATGCTTTAATCAAATATTAAACTGGAGCAATTAGTTTCCATTGGTTAATGTATAGTAATTACAGAATTTTTATTTTTTTTGCTGAGTGATACAAAACATTATCAGGAAGAAAAATCAGTGAGTCAGTTTCATTTTGGTGGCAGTTATGTCAAATACTTTTTTGTTTAGTATGAAGGGCTGGTGATTATGAGAAGATGTACGTTTCTTTCTGAATTGAAAATTTAAATACAATTTAAACAATATAACATCCCACACTGCATGTTTAAGTCCCCCTTTTCCTTCAGCATAATCTGTAGATCACATTGAGTTATCAGCCTGTACACAAGAATTACAGAGGAAAAAAACAAACAAACAAACATTTTTCTACACATGTACAGGGATGGACTTGCAACAGCTTTTCCCTGGAGCTGCATGCACCCGGACATCTAACTCAGCTATTTGTACTGCTGAACTTGCATAGCTAATGGTACCCTCTGTTACATTGCTTCAGACCAAACAAGACTAAATTCCATGATAAACTGCAGCTATCAGTGTCTTGATTCTAATAAAATGTTTATTGGAAGCAAGAGCAATGGACTCTACATTCAGTTTTGGTATTAAAAGACTTAGTCTAATTTCTTGTTTCAGTAAACAAAGTAATTCAGTGTGTGTAGAGCAGATTTATAGGGGAAGGTACTGCATCTTTCACATGATTTCTCCATATCGAAACACTGTTTAATTCCCCTCCGCTTATTAATGCCTTAGCCAACTTTAAAGCTTAGAGTATAAGCTACTAATTATTGTTTTTATTTGTGGAAAAGACATTTCAAATGTCAGTGTATAAAAATAGAATAAAGCTATGTCAGCAAGCTGGGAAAACACTGTAAAAACCCGAATAGCTCATCTAGCAGATCAGGTCTGTTCAACCACAGAAAATGTCAGTAGAGTGAGACGACATCAATGTAAATAAGATTTCTTATATTTAGTCAGAAAATAAAGTATTGGGATGGTACTTAGCTTATTACAGTTCATTTGATTTTAAATCAACAGAAACTGTACCTGAAATGGTAGCTTCCTTCTCTTTGGCCAAATCCACTTCCAGGTACAACACAAATTCCAGTCTCTTCCAGAAGTTTCATGCAATATAGCATGTCGGGTGCCATTTTATGAGCCTAGTGGAGTGGATGCTTTGGAATTAATGAAGTCAAAATATTCCAAATAACTATTACTCATTTCATGACTTTTTTTTTTCCTGAAACCTTGTCTTGCATTGTTACTTTCTATTTTAACTATTACTAAATACGTGAAGAACAATTCCTAATTATACAGTTCACACTTAATTAAAAAATGGTAATTCATGGAGGAGCAAGGGTAAAGAACCTACATAAACCACTTGCTTTGAAAGAAAGCTTCTAGATAATTTTGTTTTACTCCTTGACTGGCTTGTAGCTTTTTGTCAAAAGTCTCAAAATCGTATTTACAAAAATCTAAGCTACGGACATTTGACAAAATGAAATTAGAGCGGTGTGTTCCAGTTCTGTTAGCAGTTACTATTTTTTCCCTTGAATTATCTGCTGACTAGAAAGTCCCCTGATTAATAACTATGGAAGTTCTTACACACATGCAGGTTATACACCTTGTCACAGAATCAGCAGAAAGAGCCCTGTTTTTGCCCTCAGCTACGTAGATATAATTCCCTTTAAAAAATGTATGTTACATATTGGGTAACAGAGCTCCAGCTAGGAACAAGACTTGTCATTTAGTGATATAATTGACTGATCCCAATGCGGGGAAAAAAAAAGAAAAAAAAAGCTATTGTGCAGAACTAAAATTGGTAAGACAACCTCCCTCTCTCTTTCCTATGCTTGCTGAATGTGGTTTCTTTACAGGGTCAGTAGTGTTCAGCTGGTCACAGTCCCAGGCACATAACCTGGCTCGACCTAGCCTGGGCAGGGGCAGCAATCTCGAATGTGCACGAGTCCAGCTACCTGTCTGTCCTGTGACTTTATTTAACGCTACCCTCCCTGGTTAGCATTCTCAACCTGGATGTCTTACAAGTGTAGAGAAATGCTCTGTTTACTTTTTAAGTAAAGGTCGTGTTACATTTAAGATCATACATAGCCAATGAAGTCCTTTTTTTTACATGGCCTTACTCTACCTCTGGAATAAAAGTTCATCGTTAAAAGTAGCAGGCACAAGCATGTGAAGGTTAAAATGGACTGGAAAAAATGGATGACTGACCTTTGCTTCCTCAATGGCTTTGGCAGGGATAAAGATCCGTGGGAAAGCATACATAGCTCCTTGAAGTGGATTGCAGTGAACTCCTGGTACCTTGTTAAACATGTCTTCTGTCAGTTTTGCTTTTTTGGCAAGATTGTTCAAAACAGACTCCTTCTCCTGTTTAAAAGGAAGGTGTTCAGTTTGGCATATTTGAAGTGGCAGTAAAAATGCTAGAGAAAAAAGGGATGCTTCAAGGAGCCTACCCAGAATTAAGCATTTCTAGGACTCTGCTGAGCTTTTAGAACAAGTGATGCTCCTAAATCCAGTCTTACTTTTACAGCCAGCAATGCAAAAAAAGGCATTAGCAAGGTATAACTATGAAGTGTTATAGATAGACAATAACCTGCTCAAACCTCTATCTGCATGTCCTGTTCTTCCTTCTAAGCATCCACCCTTGACTATTTTCAGAGACCATGTTACCTGAACCTTTGGTCTGACTCAGTACTGTAATTTATTAAGCCATACTTTGTTTCATTTGTACAGGTGAAAAAATATATGTATACTTAACACAGAATGCCATATAGTTCAGTGTATAGAGGGATACCTAAGAACAAGGCTGAGTTTATAACTCTGAACTTATATTCCTCTTTAGATTTAGTAAAAGCATATATATATATATGTATTTTTTTCTTATGCTAAACACAGAAGAAAAGTTGCACTTAGCAGCAGAAGACGTGATTTAATAATGCCTTCTTAGCTTTTCTTTGGCTCCTAAGCAAAGGAACCATAAAAGGAATAAAAAATATTTTAAGGTAGATATATTCAGTTAATATAAAAACAAACAAAAAAACAACTGCATAGTTCTGTAAAATGAAGAAAAAGGTCTGGTCTCTATGCATATTGTGAGTTCACGGTGCTCAGGATAGGTTTAGGAAATGTACAACAGAATAAGCATGTTATCACTGACCTTTATGAACTGTGAATAGGATTCTTCTCCAGGTACTGGAGGATTAACTACAATATCCATTGCTGCTTGTCCTGAGACTGGAGAACAAATGCGAACAGAAAGCAGCTTAACAAGCTGTCCTTTCATTTCTGGGTGCAAGTTAATGACCTCCATATAACCTCCTCTGTAGCCACATCTATGGAGTGAACAGAAAAGATCAGTTGGCCCCAAGTTTATATATGCACTTGTGTGTGTGTATATATATATATATATATATATATATATATATATATATATATATATATATATATAAAATACTGGAAAAGCGATGAAAATAATTGCAAAGGTGGCAAGAGAGTTAAGATCTTGCAATATATAACACACTGGTGTTGAAACAGCTGCTATAGTCATTGTTCTAAGATGGCACTAAATACCATACCATTAAGCTCTAGTATCCCATACAGGGAAAATAGCGTACATGTGCCTTCCCTGTTGGACAAGTTAACTATTAACATGGACTGCTTTCTCTTCAGAACAAGCACATATGGCTGTCACAGACTGCATTTAATCAGAACATTCTTTTTATTCCATCTCTTCCTCTCCAAAACAACCAAACCCAAACAATTGTAATATTAATGTCCTAGTGATATTAAATGTACTTAAGCTGTTCTGTTGGATTTTGGAGAGCCTCTTTTCCTTTATCACAGGTTTAGGACTGTAGGATTTCAGCTTTGTGGAACAGAGGCATTCAGTGTCCGAAATAAATACATTCATAATATTGAACTATTCAGTACATTGAAAACCACAGGGCTAATTCATCACTGCTTAAATGTTTGTTTTCTTTTTCTTAACATTTTTTTAAATTAAAATCAATAGAAGATGCTGGATTACCTTCAGGTCACTAATGAAAAATGTCTGTCCAATCAGATTAACAGGGAAGGTGAAAAATTAAATTAAAAATTAAAATTAAAATGTTAAATGAAAACAGACTTACTCGCCCATGTATCCCTTAGATGTAGAGTGAAAAGAGGCCAGTTCAACATTGTTATAGTACTCAGGTCCCATCTCATACAGAATCTTTTTGAAGGAATGAAACTGGCATCCTTCAGAGTACACATTGTCCTGGTAAACCTGAACAGTCAGAAGACATTAATGTACTCTGTTCCTCCAGCTAACGATAAAAGACGGCCTTTTAGAGAGCCAGATCTGAACTGAAGAAACAGTTGTTACACTTGAAACTTAAGCCTTTAGAGGACACAAGGTTCTTTGTTAAGTAATAGTTACTGTAATGATGTGTTTTATCTCATGTAGCCATACTTAATAGTTTAGCCTTTGGAAAAACATTGAACTTCTTTATATAATTTACCCTTGACTTGTACATTTAAATTGATTTTCCTTCTGTTGCTTTCATTTTAAGTGCTCTGAAAATCACACAGGTTTTTAGGTCAGTTCTAGCAAAGTCTCTTCCTCGTGTTTCCCGCTTGTGTCCCCTACACTTTCTCTCTAGTTCAAATCCAGATCAAGCCACCTTTCATTAACCCCCAATATTAATAATCTCGCATGTTTGTCCATGTCTTTATATGATAATAGAGAATCTGTTCTTTAAAATGCACCACTACCACATATGGAACAAAGTTACATTTTTATGCTTACTCTTAGCTCTGCTTTTGAGGGAACAGAATACACCCTTACCTCATCAGCCAGAAGAAAAAGTTTCTCTTCCCAAGCAAAGTGTATCACATCTTCAATGCACTTTCTGCTTTGCACCTGTCCTATAGTTTGATTTTTAAAGCAAGAAAAATAAAGTTAGTGGAGCATACAGACAAATCTTTTAGTGCAGACCTAGTTAGACAACTACCTTTTCAATAAGATGCTCCTCTGTCTCAGAAAAGGGCTGTTGAATTTTAGAATACAATTCACTAAGTCTGAAATCAAGGAACATTTTTAGAGGTGTTATGGTTCAAGGTAACTTAGTCCATCCCAAACAGAGGAAGCATGAGCATCAGTAATTTACTAAGAGTAGTCTGTGTATAAGTGATCGTTTGAAATCCTCACACATGTAATGATTGAACAGGTTATTTCACAATGCAGTTTAAGCACAAGTTTGACAGATAATTGCAAGGGGATGAATTATTGTGTTCCTGTTTGTGAGCCAAGCCACAGTAATTGACACTGTGCCTTCCTGACTCAAGTAAGATGTATTGACTCAAGCCAACTTTCTGCAAAAGTGCAGTGAGCTATGAACATATACACATAGATTTTTACTGCAGTTCACCTGACAAGCAACAGAAAGACCACTTATGACTGTTTACAGTAATTTAATTTTATTTGTTACCTTCCATCCCCAAGCCACTAATAGTAATGCAAAATAATGTTAATAAACATTATGTGTATAATGATAACTGACAGTTGTCTTGTCCTAGTAGTCTCAAATAGGTTGAAGAAAATTAATCTTATTTGAAAGTTTGATTTCTTTTAGCTTGGTGAAGGAGCCCTGGTCCTTCTGTATTTGTCACACTGTTTAAGGTTCCACTTGATCCCATGGAAGCCTCAGGATTTCTGCAGGAATATTACTTAGGTAGGAATCTTCCCACTGACTATGGAAGACAAAACCTTGCCTTGGGGAGTCCAGCTCATGCAAGAATAGCTGCAACTCCACAGCTCAAACAAATCCGGAACAGTGCGAGCTAGTTTCTCACTAAGCATCCTCAACTGTGCAAAGAAAGAAATCTTTCCAAGAGAGGCAGTGCTTGCCACTGAGTTCAGAGTCATCTGCAGTCATTGCCTTGCAGGCATCTTAGAGACGAGATCCTTGATACAGACCAAAAGTGACTGAAAGTCATTCCCCAATACTGTAGAAGTTAAATGGAAGCAATGACTTCAGATGTGATGCAGTGAAGTGAACCTGCTCCCTTCTCTCTCCCCAAGTTTCTGGAATTCCATGATACCAAAAAGAAGTTTCTGAAAGTATGCTGTACCATCCTACATAAAGTACTGATCTCTAGAACTCAGCTTTAAATATTTGATACGTATTTTGGATTTGCCTGCAATGTCAAATGAATGAAAGAGAAAAAAAAATGTATTAGAAAAACATCAATACAAACATCAATACAACAAAACCACTACAGACCTGTGGGATTTCCTGGGTTGATGATGCAGAGGACTTTTGGATGGCAATATGCCTTAGCTTCATTCAAGGAGCGGCGAAGTTCATTCACATCTAGAGACCAGCAATTTTCTTCATCCAAATAGTAGTTCACCTGGATGGCACCGAGTTCAGATATGGCTGCTGAATATAAGGGATACTGTGGTATAGGGATCATCACTCCTGTTCGGGATTTTCCACCTCCTGAGACCAGGATCTTTAGAATTGTCTGGGGAAAAAGTAGGAAAAAAAAAGTCGTAAGTCAGAATTATTAGTATACTCTAGAATATGTTGTTGATCTTTCTTCTTAAAAGAATCTAGAGTTAAGATAGATTTCTAAAAGCTGACGGTCGTTGCCTTACATCAAAGAGTGTTGGTTTTTTTTCAAGTTAAGTTACCGACTGGGTAAGGACGGTCTAACTGAGCTTCAGAGAATTCCTCTGCATGTCACAGCTCCTGAACATGATGTCTGATCAACTTCAAAATGTAGAAAAAAAATTCTGAGCACAAGGCTAGAGGGAAACTTGGAAAAAGGAGTGTCTAGATCATGAGTATATGTTTGTTTGTTTGTTTGTTTTTTTACTGTGCCCAATTACAGTTAGAAGCAAAGAAGCCTAAGCTAGTTTTTGCTCATTGCCTTCCACTCGTATTGTCCCAGTGAACACAAGAGGCCAAGAAATAAAACCAAAAATTAGCACTGGGGCACATGGAGGTTCTCCTTTGTAATGGGAGACCTGTTTCAGATTAGGAGCAAAAGTGGCCATATGGCACCAAAGCTAGAGACTGGCATTATGCTTTCATGTTCAAGAAATACGAGAGAGCAAAAGTCTGCATATCTTAGGATGTATTATATGCACATCTTATTACATTATATGTAATTTGTGCCCAGAAAACACAGGCAGAAATGGAATGCTTGTGCTAAGATAAGTCCAGAGGATTTACCTGTTCCCAACAGCCGTGTGCCTGTGTAGGCTTTTATGTGTGAATTAGATAAAAGAGTACATTTGGTGTGGGCAGGGGAAAGATTTCTTGCCTTTAGAATCCATGGAGAACTGAAGTACAGGTACAATCAGAGCAGGCATCATTACCAACATGTTATTATAGTGTAAAAACAGAAATAGCACTTCAGATGTAACAGCAGTACCCTTTAAGTTTCCCAAGGTTCTGGAACAAAATCTGCCTTTCTGCGCCTCTCATCACATACTCACTCAGTTGCTAAGCTAATGATTTATAATCAACATCATTTTATACCCACCACTAGTTTAAAAATACCAAGCATCCAACAAATATAATCAGGAATTAAATGCAAAATTTAAAATAAAGTCTTTAATACTCTGTGTCCCCCAGGTTATGGAACAATGGTTGTTCTATCCCTGGAAGTTACAAATAATGAGACTCTTTGTACTGCCAACATTTTACCAATGGCAAAATCAAATAAGCATGGTACGGATTTGATGCGCTATGCCAGCTACAAGCTGCCAGTATAACACTCGGCATTGGAAACTCTAGAAAGCCAATTCTCTGAAGTCATGTGGAGAGCTGTTTATGTCTGAACATTGCCATTCTGAACTCTGCCACTAGATGTCATTTAAAAACAACAGCAAGCTTTAACAAACAAGTCTGCCTTAAATAAATATATAAATAGATAAATAAATAAATAAGGCAAAGAATTATTGGTTGATGTAATATCAGCAAATGTGCCTGTGTAAAGTAAAAATATAACAGTTATTTCTCTTAAATGATTACCACCTTTGAACGTTGGTTGAAGCCAACACCTAGTTTCTCCCAAAGATAGCTATTGAAATGGATCTTTGAGATTTTCACTGGCATTAATCTGCACTAGCAGAGTGTTTATTAGGACGAAGAGCTCCCAAGACTTCTCACCTCTTTGCCATGGATTGATTGACCTTTAGTGCTTAATGCATTCTAACTATGGAGGACATCATTCAGTCTTAGTGGTCTGTCTCCTATATTTATATTGTAGTGTGTATGTAACTTACACTGCCTATACAAAAGGTACTGGTCAATATATGTTAAGAGACTCCATGGGTCTGTTACGTAGCTGGCACCTTAAATCCTCATAATTGGGTGTATTTGTTATCAATTCAGTTTGACTTCTGTATCTATTAGATCAAACTCACAAGAATTTGTGAGACCAGATGTTCAACAGAGATCAATATTTCTGAAGGTAACTAATGATGTATAATTTATACCAGGAAGAGACAGGTTTAATTTTAACACTTACAGCAATGCCATCACTTGCCCCAGTGGTAAGATATATGTTATCTGGATCTGCAGGAACTCCTCCATCTCTTCTTTCAATATATGAAGCAACATCTTCACGGATGCAATTTATACCTTGACTGGCACTGTAAGCTCCTGTGAAAAAGAGAATGAGATGAGAGTTGAGTACAATGAACGTCAGATTTGCTGTTTGCTAGAAAATCCCCTGAGCTGGTGGTGTATTATTTTTTTTTAATATGAGGGCTTTGGATCCCTTTTTTTTGCTTTCCAAAGAGCATGAAAGGGAGTTGGATTGTTGGTAGAGCAAAAGCGTTTATTTGGGATGAGACAAATGCAATAATTATCACTAACATGCAAAAATAATAAACTTAATAAAAGTAGGCTTTAAAGGCTACTTTGCAAACTGGGTCAGCAAACCCATTTTTACTTTCTCCCAGTTGCTTTCATTATGCTGAAAGCCATTTCAGGTCAGTCACAATTATTTAAGTAATGGGAACAAAGAACAGGGGTGGCATGTGCAATAGGAGAGAAAATAACTTTTTAAAAATTCATGACAAAAATAAGATTTTTATTTGCAATATGAAAAGAACATGAAACCATTTCTTCCCAGTCTGAAAAGCAAAAAAATCCTGAACTGCTTCCCTCTCCCTCCACAGCAACTCCCTCAACCATTTGCAGTTACCTGTAGCAGAAACATCTAGTATCACACCAGTACACAAGGCTTGTGAAGTTTACAGAGCATAACTAATAATCTAATAAAGTAAGATTTTAGATGCTGTGTGCATCATTGCTGAGCATGTGCAACGAGTAAACAGTAAAAACAAGTCTAAGCCTAAGTGAGGAATGGATTCAAGCTATGAAGCCTAAGGCTGATGGATGGTGAAGTGACAAATGTACATGTAGTTTAGAACACTGTCATGAACCTGCAGAGTCTTCTCTGCCTTTTGGGTGGAGTGGAATAATTGTGCCTGACTTAACTCTCATCGCCCAGTTATATCCTATAAGTCAGCCTAATAATACTTCTGTAGCAGCGTAATTTACAAAGACAAAGTATTTTGCAAGTACTGTGCAACTGTATGGCACCAAGTGGCTATTCAGGGCACAAAGTTCCCTGATGTCCTAAAAATTGGCTTTCATACAACAATAATCTATATTGGGTTTGTATAAGGGTCTTCTACCGCAGCAAGGAAGCCCCTGTTAAAGTGGGGAACAAAGCTAAGCTACCATTCTGTTTTGTGCTCCTTTGAAGGCTGAGTCTCAGTGGGAATATACGGAAGACCTGAATTCAATTTTCAGGCCTATACTTAATTGTACTCAGTTGGTAACTTTGACTAAAACCCATTAGTTTTCACTGTGGCATGCAGATAAATTAAAAAACAAACAAATAAACAATTGAAACCAGTCAAAAAAAAAAAAAGTCAAAAGAATCCCAGAGTATTTGAACACAATGGAAGTTGAGGACGTGTCTGAGCCATCACATGTGGTCTGGGAGAACGAGACTCAATACTACTAGGAGGGTTTTGCCAAATGAATGCTCATTAGAAGTGAGGTTATTTTAGTTCATACCCAGAAGTAATTCATATTAAATTTGCAATTAATAGATTTAAGCAGGCCAATATAGATGCAAATACACCACTTCATAACATATATAGATTAAACATATATAGATAAAGCTTAAACATACATAGATTGCAAAATCACTTCTGTGTTGAACTTAAAAAAGTTTTACAAGTTATTTAGAACACAGCACTTAAAGCTACGTGGAAGGATCAGTTTTTGACTTCTGATTTTTCCCAAGAAAGCAAATTCCTCCGTCTCGGCCACAGAAAGCAGCAACAGGTTTTCAAACTGTCAGTGAAGTGCTCGGAGTCAGCGCCACGCAGCTGCACTTTCACTCAGGCTGCGTATTTACGGAGTGCTGTACAGAGGCTGGTGGGCACCTGGGGCCGAGAGCGGGGGCTGATAGATGGTACTGAAGAGACGGGTGGAGAGGAAGTGTAAACCAGTAGAGTAGATCAATAAGGTCTACAGTGTTCTCGGTTTTAGGGAATTCAGAGGGACAGATGTTCTTGGTACATACCATAGCAGGGAAAAAAAATATCATCCAAGACTGCAGTTTCTGACTTACAGAACTTACATTTATCCACTGAAATTAAAAGGGTGTATTCAGAGTGTTGTGAATGTTTCAGGCCTACTTCTGTGCCTACTAAGCTAATGCAAATTACTTGAAATATGTGATGATCTGCTGAAAGAGAGATTTTGTACAGGATCACATATTTCTGAAATATCATACAAGGCTGGATTCCATTCTGTTTACTCCAGAAGTGTAGGACCAAGACTCGGCATTCTGAGAGCTCTTATTATACCCCTAAACTTGAAAATCACCACCAAAAATGACTGATGAAAAATTCAGTTATATCCTCAGTAACTTTCACATGACAACCAGTATCGTATTGAGTTGTTCCTGAGTGAGCTACAAAAGGATTTCATGGAGTCAGAGTAATTTCTCCATTTTGGTAACTGTATTTTTTATGTTCTCTGTATAGAAACAAAACCAATGCAAAAAAGGCAAGGATAGAATACATTCTATATTAGGATGTGGTGTTAGGAATAGTCTAAGACTGAAATACTGCTAATATAACCCCTAATTAGGTTTTGTTTATTTTATTAAGTTTCACCTATCCTAAAAGTATGCCAGAGCAAATGGCCACTGCCATTAAGATTAAAAAATATGCCAGTTAATCTCAGAGGTACTCTGAAATGTCACTGTTCACTGGTTTTTGGACCTGAAAGAAGGTAGTTTGGTGTGCCAGACTCTTTGCCCTACCCTGTAGCTGTAACACAGCCTTCACGGTGGAATTTTTAGTGACATTTCCCAGATACAAGCAGACATCACAGCTGATAGAGGAGAAGCAATTTGTCCCTTCTATTTTCTCTCTGCTGAATTTGCAACGTTTGTACTTATTTGTGCATAGATTATATTTGTACTCTTGTGGGAGCACTGGTTGAAGAACAGAGTTCTTTAGTTCTTTTGGGGGTTATTTTGCCTTGGAGACATGGGGCTCTGATATCTTCAGCTGGAACTATCTGGGATAAATAAAAAGCTACCATGTTCTGAGTGTGCTCTTCCCTCTTTGCAGAGCGTTATCACCTTGGTACGTGTGTTTCAGATACCCCAGCTCATATCCTGGCAAACGTATTTGTGCAGTTGGTTCAAAATGAAGGTACAGGACTGTGAGCTGGATCAGCTGAGATGACATAAAGTTTGTTGATCCCACCCCTACAGTGACTGCATACTTCATGGCAGGGAGAGGAAACATCTAGAGTTGATAAAATTGTAAACAGCCCCTCCTAGGATCGAGCAGGAGACATAGCTGTCAGTCCAGGTCTAACAGATGTCAGAAGATGCCTAACAGACATTTTTTTTATAGAAATAGCACTCTGCAACACTTTTCTGGTAGAAAAAAAGCTCAGCATTATGTTTATGGTTATGCCTAGAAAGTATTGTAGTGAGGACCCTGTGACTGCGTAATCTTCATCTTGCCCTCTTCTGTGACAAGTCTTGTAAAAAATTGCACCATTACTGCTTATCAGTGGGACGCACCGAATCTCCTCCTATCATTTTGCCCTAGGCCATATCCCATTTGTCTTGTAATCATATAGAACAAGATTAGGAAATTTCAGTACTGCACATATTGAAACTACCTTAGTTGATTCTATTGCACATAAGAGCAACTGAAACAGATGCTTACCTAAGCTGTTACCTCCACAACCCTGCAAGATCCGTCTGGCTCGCTTTTTCGCATCTTCTGGAAAACTTGGGCTGTCCAGCAGGTTTGGGTATGTGCACAGTGCCACTACCTAGAGTGCCAAGAAAGCTGTAAATTTGCCACTGCTCAATGGTTATTTCAAGTTGGTAACATTACTGTTAACTTTCCTTGGACATGAAGATCACAACTTAACTTTTTAAAGCTAATTTAAAACAAAGGCTGTTGATGAAGGGTTTGCAGTTGTTTCTTTAAGGGTAGTGCTTATAGAAGTGAAGAATCTTATCAGGTTCCAACTTCTGCTACTAAAAGCAGTTATAGAGGTATTAACTCTTTGAATTACAGATGGTAAAGTTTGGAGTCAAAGTGAGCTCTGCATAGTGCAAACACAGCAAAACAGTTCATTATTCAGAATAGGAAATCTGTAAATAGCTCTGTCCTCCACTCTTTGTGTATTACTAGCCCACTTTATTGACAAGAAATAAAGAGTTTAAATATGGAGCAGAACTGAAAAATGTGATCACAGTTTTAAGTCCCAATTTCATGTTCTGTAATCCTTCCCCAAAATAACTTACAGTTATTATCAATATGAAGTTGTGAGAAATAATTAAAAAAGAAGTGGTGGTGTAGAACATAGTAAAAGTAGAAACAGCACCTAGCAGAAATAAATTTTTGAAGAAATGTAAGACAAATCTAGAGGCTTTGCTTGAGATCAGCTTTGATTTGCTCCAGTCTCTCTCATGTTTACGTTCACATGGTGTAATATGGATTGGCTGTTGTCATCTTGTGGGCAAGTGACTGAAGAATTAAACTGAATGCACATGCAGTCATGGGGAAGAAGGATTTCCCATTTACCCAGTATTTTATTTAATAATATTGGATCTGAATTAATTTTAAAGAAGCTCTGTTTTTTCTAGCTTGTATAGCTCAGTTTTATAATCTTGGCACGTGGACCCCCAGATTTATATGGCTTCAGTTTGGCCTCTGAAATTCTCTGAATTTATAGTATTATAGGCTTATGATTTTACATGTGTGTGTAAGGGATGTTCAGAAACTGTTTTTACTTGTAAGCTTTTTATTTAAAGAGTATAAAAATACTTTTATTAAATAGCACAGTAATATAAAATTTGAGTAGTATAAAAATAGTATTTATTGAAATACCATAGTGGGTGTTTTTTTTTTTTTTCCCAGCATACTGCTGCAAAATCAGGAGTAGTACAACTAGTTGCACCCAACTGCAAGCAGATTTTAAGTATACTGTCAGATGAAGAAAAGCTTTTTTTTTTCCTTAAGAACAACCGCTTTCTTTTCTGAAGTGCATTACTGATAACAAATGTGCTGAATGATAATATAGAAGTATCAGGAGAAAGGATGGATGGGCAATGATCTCAAAAGTAAGGAAAGCTACTGTATTAGTTATAGGACTTCTAGCAGAAATCCAAACTTGTAATTCTTTATCAAAGGCTTACAAGTATAAATGCATGTAAGGAATCATTAATATTAGTAAGAGAGTCAAACATGGTAAGGTATTCTTCATAATATAATCAAAAAAAGCAACAATAATATTTTATTATATTCTTACCTGACGAAGGAAGGTGATTGGCCTCTGTCCCATTGCATGTGCATCTCCAATGTTGGCTTTAATTACTTCAGTAAAAGGTTTTTTGATTCCCTAGAAGGAGAAAATTCACATTGGGCTGTTAGGGCTGAAACAGATGATAAAGAATTCCTTTTTGTCATATGGCTGTAAGTAAACAGTGCATAATCTCAGAAAAGAAAGAAGTTTAAAGCTTAATGCATTTCTTTACAATAGCAGATCATAAATGCTTTATAGAAATGATGCTGTGACACAGTTTTAAATGACTGATAGTCTTTTTTTGTTTGTTTGTTTGTTTGTTAAAGTGTTTGTTCATTTTTCTGCTAGCTGCAAGTAAGAGATTGATTTGCCTGGCAACTGCAGTGTGAGGTAAAAAAGCTGAAAGAAAGGCTTTCTGAATTGCCAGCATGAGAACAACTTGTTTGATACACCTGAGGGCAGGAGGGATCAGTCAAGAAGCTAAAAAGATTTGAGAATATTTGAGAAACCCACCAACAACAGAGACCTCGAAACCTTTAGTTCTTATTAGAATTTGCTTATACACTGCTTACTTATTTATTGTCTGACTATTTACATTAATTATGCATTATGTTATGTCCCCTACGTTACCATAGACAGATGTTTCATCATAAGGAACTCTATGATAAACAGAAAAAGTGCTAAATAGTCACCATGAATACTTAAACGCTTCTTAATTTCTGAAATCTGACCAGACAGCTGTTTTACCAGCGAGGAATTGAATAGATCTAGAGAACAGAGGGAAAACAGTTGCAGAATGTTGGTTAGCCACCACAGCTCTTTAAAATGGCAATTAAAAAAAAGAGGAAAAATGGTCAGCAACTGCCTGGTAGAAAAAAACACCATTGATTTAAATAAGAAAGATTAACTGAAAGTAAAGGCCAACATAAAGACTAAACGAGCAAGGCAAGAGCAATTTTATAGCTTTTCTAGTGTATGTTTGGGTATGAGAAACGGTAGGGAAGCTTTCAAACCATGACAGGATTTTCATGTGGACTAATGAGCTGCAAATTTATACTGACTATGTGTTGGCCTGCAGTGACAGATCAGAACCCAGATATGCAAAGATAATAATGACCAAAATATTAGAATTCACCAGGGTTACAAAATCCAAGGTATGCCAAAATTTGGAGGCTTAGAGTGGCTAACAGCTTATTCTAGATAATGTGGTTCAAATTCTCTCTGTGGATCCAGTTCAAGGCATATATAACTGAGAACGTTTAGTTTTTCATTTGTTTGTTTGCTTTGTTTTCATTTGCAATTAAATAGGTGGCATTAAGACAAGACAAATGGACTTATAGGATCCTGATGTAGCAGGGTCAAAGCATTTTACATGGCCTTAAATTTGGCAGGAATTGAAAAGTGGTTCACTTAAAATAATTGAAAGTGACTCATTGATTACATCAAGTCATTTGCTTTTATGTTTGCTGATATAAATGAGTGCCTAAATAAGAGCTGCATTTCAATCTTAAATTACAGACTAGGAACAGAGATTCCAGATAAAGATTACAGATATTTGAGGCTGAAGTTCAGCATTTTCTGAGTAATGCAAATGGTTAGAAATAAGTTTTCTTCAATCAGTGTCCACTGATAGCATAATCATTTCACTCTCATTTATGAATAAGAAGGTAAAGAAGAGTAAGAAACATGTAGAAGGAGAATGAGTTCAGTCTGAATGAAATTAAGAAAGATTCCTGCACATCTTAGTTCTGTTTGGTTCTTCTTATGTTAGACAGAATCTGGCTCACTAGAGTTGCACGCTAATACAGATGTGTTAAAGAATAAGGGATGATATTTTCTTTGCCCTGAATTAGGGTATTGTCTAAAAAAAACATAACAGTTCTCAGCAATAAGCAGAAAGATTTTCTTTTCCCACCAGATTAAAAACAGAACAAGCAAAAGCCCTAACACATAAATTTAGTACATTAGCCAAACCAGATGTTTTTTGCACACAAATACTATTGTGGTCTTTCACAGCAACACTCTCCTCCTTCCCTGCCAACAGGTACTTGTTTTTGTTTGCTTTAGTCATCTTAGAACATAGTCATGTGTCTGCAGACACTGTGTGCCATTGAAAATATTCCATGGGACTGGTTCAGGAAGAAGGCTTTTAAATGGAAAATGCCACGTAAGCAGACACAAAGCTGGCGTACCAATCTTTTAATAAAGCAATTGGCAATTACTTGCCCTTGTATCTTTTAAAAAGTGCCCAGAAGACTTTTCTCTCTGCCAATGACTCAGCTTGTAGTTGAAGAAAGCAGGGGAGCTGGGAGGAGTTAGTGAGGATCACCGTGTATCTGTTTTGTCAAGTAATATCTCCTGCTCTGCGATGGTAACTTGAAAACAAACATGCCCACTGAAAACACTGGAAGGTTTTGTTCTCTGTTCCTGGCAAACGCACCTCTTTGAGAATCCGGTTGCATGAAACTGCAATGACACCTTTATAAACAGGTCCTTGGACAAAAATCAAAGCACATGTTTCGAAATAGAACCTTTATCGCCACTCTGAAAGTTTGGGGGAGAATTGTAAAAAGGCAATTTTGAACAGCTCTAATTGAAATGATTGGGTTAGACATACACAAGTAATAGATGCACATAACACGCAGTGAGCTGAAGGCGTACACGGCCTTCTGAGATGGGGGTAGCCAAGTAACACAAAGAGCAAAGCCTTAAAATAATCTCTCTAGCATTCCTGCGGCACTGTTTTTGTACAAAACGCGTACTAGTCAAATTCTTCGGGGTAATAACAACATCGGCAAGGCTTGCTAAAGCGGTGAAGGTAGGGAGCAGTATCTGAAATCCTAGAAGCAAGCGTGCCAGATGCTTCATTCAAAGCACGAATCAATCCTCACGGTGACAAGGGAAGCTGTGAACAGCAAAGAGCCTCACTTGAATTGCTAAGCTGCTCCCCCTCCCCGATATTACGTCGTAAGTTAAGAAATCAGAGCAAAACACGCAGAAGGCGCTGGAAGCATCGCCGCATCGGGATGCTCCCTCAGCACCCGGCAGCTTCAGCAGCACCCGGCCGCGGTGCGGGGCTCGGCCGGGGCAGGGGCTGGCGGAAAAGCCCCCAGCGGCCCCCGGCGGCCCCCAGCGGCTCGCTGCCGGCCGGGGCGCTGCTCGGCCCCCGGGCTCGCTGCGGGGAGGGCGGCCCCGGCCCCGGCGAGCCCCCCGGCGCCCCAATCAGCGGCGGCGGCGGCGGAGGAGTGCCCCGGGGGCCGGGCAGGGCCGGGCCGGCGGCGTGGCCGCCGGGGAGAGCTCGCCCCGCCGCCCCCGCCTCACCTTGCGCAGCTCCTTCTCGATCTCGCCGGCCTTGAGGACGATGGGGCCCCGCACCGCGTACTCCACCGCCTTCACGTAGGGGTTCATGGACTCCAGCGTCAGGATCTTCTCGCGGCTCGCCTTCTCGTTGAGCTTCACGGCGGAGGCCTCGGCGGCGCTGCTCCAGCTCGCCGCGCCCTCCCGAGCCGGCTGCGGGAGCCGGGGCCGCCGCTCCCCGCCGCCGCCGCCGCCCCCGGGCCGGGCCGCGCCGCGCCGGGCAGCCGAGAGGAGCCGCAGCATCGCCGCGCCGGGCCGCTCCGAGGCTCCCGAGCGGCGCTGTCGCCGCGGATCGCCGCGTCCCCGCCGCCCTCGTCGAGGCGAGGGATGCGGGCGCCGCTCAGCCCTGCCCCGTCCCGCTGCCGAGCCTAGCCGCGGGCGCTGCGAGCGGTGCTGCGGAGCGGCGCTGCCACCAGAGCGGCAACACGGGCCAGCATTGCATCAGATGGCCGCCGCGGAGCCCCGGCCCCGGCAGAAGGGCCCCGCTAGGCTGCCGGGCACGGGCGGCCATCCTCCGAGCCCCCTGCCCGCCTCCCCCCCCCCCGAACCCCGCGGCGAGCCGAGATGGGCAGCGGCCCGGCGAGGGAGGCGGTGCTGCCGGGCGGGCTTTGTAGTTCCTGCAGCCCCGGGCTGCGCCTGCCCACAGCATCAGGTGATGGGCAGGGAGCTGCCGCACCCACAGCGCCACCGGCCCCCAAGCCCGCTGCTGCAGCTGGAGATGGCTTTGGTGGGGGTGGCGGTGATGCTGATGGTGGTGGTGGTGGTGGTGGTGGTGGTGGTGATGGTGGTTGCCTTTGTCCGGGGCTGGTTTTCTGCTCTCCCGCCCTCCCGTGCCCTTGGATGCGCGGCAGAGGCTCGATGTGCGCCCCGGGGATGTCACAGCTCCTTCGCTGCCCCCTGTCCAAGCAGAACCTCTGGCCGAGGTTTCGTGCCCGCAGGCACAAGTTGGTGCCATCACAGCATCCTCGTTGTTTCCATGTGATGGAAGTGGTCCTCGCACGCAGGGTCTGTTCTGCTTCCGTGGCAAATGGCTGGAGGTCTGTCATCAAACGCAGCAGCAGAATTTGAGGGGTGGAGGGGCAGCTGCTCTCTCCTGGCCACCCGTGGGGAGGAGAAGGCCCCTCTCACCCAACCTTGGTGCCCTGAAGGGGCGCCTTGTTTGTGCTCAGAGAGTGGAATAAGGGATCATTCACTCAGGAATATTCCTATGACCTGATGTTACCTCCCTCAGTAAGAGCCTGGCCTGTAAATTGGACTTCTTTCTGAATTATTTTTGTAGGACCTTCTTTTTCTTGCTTTCTCTTCCTCCACTGACTTAGAGAGACCAGTTTCCTATTTTGGGTACCTAAATTAGATGGTTCAAGGCTTGGGTTCTGTTCTGCATGTTTTGGTGTCTCTTCTTGGCTGATGAGGGAGGGGAAGGCAAGCTGCTTTTACTGAGTTTGGTTTTATTTTGTTCCATATGATTCTATCTTGACTCTTTTTTTCCTGTCTTTACTATTTCTTTTTTTCTAATGAGCTTCTGCTCTCTATAGTGTTTAACTCCACAACTAATTAGTTCAAGCTCTCTTTCTGTTTCAAGTGCAACATTTTAGCTCTTGCTCTGTGCCAATTTAAAAAACAATCACAACTCTAGAACTGCAGTCTATTCATAGTTATCAGAATAACAGAAGTGGGATTTTCTTATTGTGCTGAAGGGACCATCCAGAGGTGGTGCAGAAAACCCATTTGTTTTACCCAGGAATTTCATTTTTTATAATTTCAGTCTTTGTACTGACTGTAATGAAAGCTTTTTGTTGTTTACTGCTCAGCTTGTGAAGGCTCTTGGGTGGAGTGCATCTGAGCCTGCGTATCCTCCTTCCAAAATTCGCTTCACAAAATGGCTTGATGGAGCACATATGTGTGCTCCAATTCAAGTTCCAAGAAGGACAGCTTCAATAAGTTTTTCAGGATTTTTTAGTCTGCATCTCTTTCATTTTGTTTTGTTTTGTGTTGTTGTTACTGTTTTGTTTGTTTGTTTGTTTTTTCTTCCATATTTTAAACATTCTTTAACTTTTTGAATGTGAAGTTTTGGAGCCTGTATGTGGCTATTGCAATATGCTTTCATTGAATAACCTGAAGCTGATTTTGCAATAAGCTTTAACCAGATAACCCAAAAAGTTCAACTTTTTTTTGAATTCTTATATGAATTCTCGGAAAAAAAAATGTTATTTACACTCATTGGGTATAAGTGGACTTGCCAGACATCTTGATATGGCTGTTAATGTTTAGGGTTCATTAGCGATCAAGGTCAGAATGCTATCCGCTCAATTAAAAATCTAAGTCCACTGGATTTGGAACCACTAGTTTTGCTAGGGGAAGTACAAAAATTAACCTTTGTTCTTGACCACCCTGTTCCACCCCCAATCCGCCCCCCAGAAACAGCTGGCGTAGCAGAAAGTTTGCAGTCAGCATTGCCATGGTATCTCTGATTGATCCCCGAGAAAGTAAAGGTACACACTGCTGCCTGACATCTCTGGTCCTGCCTCTAGCTGACAATCCAAACAAGACCATGTTTGCAAATTCTGTAATGCTGCTTGTTAGCACAGTAGTATCGAAATAACACTAACAATCTTAAAACACATGTTGCACAAGCCAAAGCATATGTTTGTAATAAAACATTTGAATGAATATAAACAGACTTGAAATTCAATAGACTGATTAATTTCCCAAGTTTAGAAATGTACAAAGTAAACGAATAGGATGAAAAAAGCCTTTCTGTGTTCAACATCATATGAAATGTTTGTTTTGTAGAAAAAGTATCTGTTGCTTTAATTATGATAAATGCAGTTTATTTTCATAGGGATACTTTCAGGAAAGGAAATAGCATGTGTAATGAACTTGCAGTTTTGAGGTGAAGTTGTGCCTATGGACATGAACAACAGAACTCCTACTGGCTTCAGGGGAGTCAGCATGCCACTCCAGTCAGTGTGACTCTGTATTTGTGTGTGCTGCTCTGACTTTTTGAGGCTTAGCATATCTACCCATAAAATGAGGAAAATAAAACCTAACTTGTGAGCAAAGGTACTGTGGAATTAGTTAATGCATGCTTGCAAAAATGTTGTGCAATGACCTATTGAGGATGAAGTGGTTTTTTTGAGTTTACTCATGAAAATCTTCCTTTCTCTCTTCCCATGCCCCTGAGTTGAATGGCAGATAGCATGCGTAATTGCTGGCTCACGCTATTACCCATCAGAAAAGACTAAGGCTTTTGCAGGTTGGCCCATGATGATCAGCTGGCGTGATCGCTGGGCAATTTATACACCCTATACAAGTCATATGAATGCAAGTTTCAGTAACCTGATGGTGGCAAGCACTGTGTAGGTCTTTGATCCCTGTGTCGTGTTCCACCTTTAGTCATAAAGAAAGACAGAGTTCAGTTTTCTTGCAGTCATAAGAAGCTAAAAGGAATTTCATGTTGATGTTGGGGAGTTAGAGATACAGAACAGCAGCAAATGCGGACATAGGTAGAAAGAGAGATATAGAGCTGGAGAAAAGCCTTGATAAACAGACTTAACAGCTGCTGTCACATCTTTCCATTATGACAGACAGCAAGCTGTTTATCACGAATGGCCGTGTGGTTTAAACCACATGATTATAATAATAGCATGTGGTAACTGAGCATTCAATTTTCTTATGCTGTTTCATATAAATAAGTGCACAGGATAGAAAACTACCTTTACAATGGCAAAGTATTGTTAATTATATTTAAATAATTAAGTCCTATTTAAATGGAATCTGACTTTGATGAGACATTAAGTAAACCATATTACATAACCTATTTGTTTTAGGCAAAAACATGAAACTATTTTTGTGTTCTGAGTTGTATGGTGGATGACTGTTTCCTGTGGAATACTGCTGATGGTAGTAATTCAGAATATAATGAGCATCTTCAGAGAAATTACTGTTCTAACTGTTCTGAACATAACACAACATAAACCTTTAAGATCTGGTCTGAAGCCCTGTGCAGTCAGTGGAGAAAGTGCCAGTACAGTGACTTTGTATCTTAATGTTTACCAGCTGTGGTGGTTTCACCCCAATGGACAGCTGAACTATACCACAAGCACTCTTTCACTCCCTCTCCTCAAAGGAACAGGGGGAGAAAATAACATGGGTTCAGGGGTTGAGATAAGGAGAGAGAGGTCACTCAGCAGTTACCTTCATGGCCAAAACAGATTTGGCGTAGGGAGATGAATATAATTTGTTGCCTATCACTAGCAGACAGGAACAGTGAGAAACTAAAAGCAAACTAAAAGCAAATTAAAACCACCCCATCCACCCTCTTCCACCTCCTCCCTCCCCAGGTGGTGCAGGGGAATGGGGAATGGGGGCTGTGGTCAGTCCCTAACACTTTGTCTCTGCTCCTTCATGGTCACTCTCTGCCCCTGCTCCACGTGGGGTCCCTCCCACAGGATGCCGGCCTTCCCGAACTGGTCCTGCGTGGGCTGCCCACAGGCAGCAGCTCTTCAAGAACTGCTCCCCTATGGGTCTGTACCATGGGGTCCATCCCCCAGAAGCAAACTGCTCCAGCATGGATGACCCACGGGCTGCAGCTCTGGCTCAGGGCCTGCTCCTGCAGGGGCCCTCCATGGGACGGGGCCTCCTCCAGGCCACATCCACCCTTTTGGAGAAGCCAGAGCTGGCTCTGCTCTGACATGGGGCAGCTCCTGGGCTCTGCTCATAAAGGCCCCCCCCCGCATCCCCTTCTCTACCAAACCCTTACCATGTAAGCCCCATACCATCTCACCATCTCTCATTTCTTATGATATGCAAAAATAAAGCCCAACTCCCAACCCCAAAACAAACCCAAAAGGAAACACATGATGTTGTCTATCAAATTTTCTTCAGAAGAATTAATTGAAAAGGTGCTCTATGAAAAGAATGGAATTTTATTTTGAAAAGGATATTTTATACACAAAACATTTCAAATAAAAATGCTTATTTATTTATTTATTGTGACAAAAGACGAGTTTGATGAAATCAAATTGTTCTGAACAATGTGTGGATTTTAATAGCTTCCCATGCAAAAGGCCCAACATGTGAGACAAAAAAAAATAAAAATTGGAAGCTTTTTTTATGGAAAGGTAGCTGCTACTGACATTTAAATTATTAATATTTCAGTGAAAGCTTTGTTTGAAAATACCATCTGCAGGTGGCAGGCATCTGCATCACAAAGCAAATAAACCTCTGTTAAAAAAACACTGGTGACCTGGCCCATAGGACTCGTTTCGTAGATTATGTTCCAGCTTGATTAGGGAGGGATATTTCCACCAAGTTTTTACTCTGAGAGGGTTTTAAAGACTCAGTGTTAAAAAATATATGGACAAGGTCATATTTTATCGCTTCTATTGGACATATTTGCTTTAAGAATTGAGTAAAATCAAACAGTGGAATAGAAAAGTTGAAGGATTTTTTTTTCCGTTACTAATATAGAAAAATACTAAAATATTGGGAGCTAGGAACTTAAATGTTTCTTTCAAATTCTAAAAGAAGCATAGTAATGATATGGAAAATCTATGACTTCTGGATTTTGTGCTTGTAAAATTATAGTTGCACAACAAAATACTGCAGCATGCAAGAAGCCAGTGTGGTGGGCATATACATGTACATTGCATTCCAGTGAAGGAGGAGAGCATCCCAAGATCTCAGTTCATTCATATCAGCTGAACTGTATTGTGACTACTGCAGAGAAAAGCCATCAAGGGCAGACATAGAAAAACTTCATGTGTAGCTTTTCATAAAATACAGAAATTGCATAATTTTATTATTTTCTCTTTTAAATTAGTGTAAAACACATTTTAAATGAGGCTTAGTCCAGCAAAGTACTACTCTTACAGACTCTCTAAGAGAGTAAGTACCGGTACCCATAAAAAGATATTTGTTGCTTTTTCTCAGTGTTGCATTCATGTCTGAAATGGCACAAAATAAGTAGTCCTGGACTTTCAGAACTCAAAACTAATTTAATAATAAATTAGAATAACAAGAAAAACATCACAGAAGCATGAAACAGCCCAGGCTGGAAGGGACCTTGAAATATCACTAGGCCCAACCTTTACTATGTATCTGCATGGTAAATCATAAAAATCAGTTGTCCAGCAATGCATGCTATCTTGTTTGCATTCAATAAGGAAATATTTTTGTTTGTCTTTGAGTAGTTGAAGAGCAGTCACTGACTATTTTATTTGCTCTAAAGAGAAGGCAGGATGTTGTAGTAGATCTGTGTTAGTTCTCTTGTGTATTCATTAACTCCTTCCCTAGATACTGTTACATACGCAGCAGAGCCCCCTGCTGTTAAAGACCCTCTGAAAGGCTTGATTAGTTTTCTATGTTTTGCTATGTCTGGACCTTCTTAGTTAAGATGAAGAAAAATCCAGAAGTAGTCTGAAGGTCCTGGTTGCAGGGATTTAGTCTTCATATAGGAATGAACTCTGCATGTCCACCTGCCTGTATAGAACACAGTTGTGCTTTTGGCAACAGTCACAGTTTATATAAAAAATAAACTTGTTTTGGTGTATCTCTGAAAAAAGACCTGTGCTGGCAACAGATTGCTATAGTTTGAAAGCAATACGCAGCGAGAGAAGGTAAGCAAAACCCACCTTCCAAGAGAGAATTTAAATACTCAGAAGAAAAGGAAAAGGGCAGGTCAGCCAATGCAGTCACTGTGTGTGCAGCAGAAACCACAACACACACATGGGGGAGCCCAAGACGATCACAAGTGCAGAAGAGTGTCTTCTTGTGCCTGTGTGGGAGCTGGGCCTGGAGCAACCAAAAGGCCTGTGGAGTTCTTAGGCATGGTAACTGTCGAGGAGTAAGGGAAAGGGTAGGAGAAACAGAGAGGCCACAGAGTACTTAGGTTGACTGTCGGGAATGTAAGATTGACTGTCAACAATGACACTTGAGGAGGAATGGTAGAAAAAAAATCGGTAGGCTGTACTGTTATAAGAAAGGATATTGAACATAATAAAAGTGTTTGGTATCTTATTCATATATTAGTAGTAAGGGTGGAGTGGGTTGGTGTTACAAACTGGGAATCTTGAGGGAACTTTTGAAGGTATAATTTTATTTTATTTTATTTTATTTTATTTTATTTTATTTTATTTATTTATTTATTTTATTTTATTTTATTTTATTTTATTTTATTTTCTGATAAAGTCAGGCCCTGCTGACATAGAGAGCTCTAGTAATTTTCCTGTTTTTTTGATCCTGATAGTAACGTTACTGTAGCAGGACACTGCTGTCTGAGAACATTCACTGTGGTGTTCCGAGACAGGAAGTTGTATATCTCACTTTTATCTATAAAAGATAGTTAGTACTTACATATGCTCATTGTGACTTAAAATACTCAGGGCATGTAGAAAACCACTATATTTGTGTGGAGAGATGACAATCAGAGTTCAGACAATGATGTTCTCTACTACCAATACTTAGGATTTTAAAACACTTTCAGCTATATGTTGACCATATGTATATTGTGAATTGATTTTTGCCTACAATTCATTCATGCACTCCAACATTGCTTTCATTTCATAGTAGCGTGCATGAAATTAGCATTGCACTTAAAGGCGAAGTACTCTTTGTTCCAGTGGTGGAAATACTCGTAGAATAGTTTAACAAGGTCCTTTGCTTTATGTGAGTAGTTTAAAATCAAAACATTGAAGTTATTTTATGGTTTTTACTTTTTACCCTAGCAAAAAAAATTAAGGCTGTCTGGAATTGTTACCTCTATCAGCATTCGTTTTATCACCCAAAGTCAAACAATCCTTTGTGCTGCAACAATGCAAAAGCTTCCACTGGAATCAGCTGTGACATGTTGGATGTCTGGTGAAAAACAGTTAGGAAAATTATTTACCAAACAGAGCCTTCTGGTGATTTGAATTTTGTAACAGTTTTATATTTAATCAATTCTTTTAAGAAGAATGCAAAAACAACAACAAAGAAATGTGACAGCTGGTCTATTACTGGAATCGATTTTTCATTCCCTTTAATTCCTTTTCATATATTGATTAATATACAAATATAAATACGTGAAAAAATATTAAATCAATTAATATGAAATTATTTTGTACAAATACAGATCATAATCATCTGCATTTAGGTGGCTTCATGAATTTCTCTCCATTTCAAGGTATGCCCCTCTCCACTAGGATGCTCTGAGATGGCTTAGCAGGATGATTGCTAAAAAAAGGGTGGGAAGATGTTCTCTTGGGCCAGGTGGGAAACGTGGATCCTCAACAGATTGTAGGTGATTGAGGTGATTGTAACCTTTCCATTTCCTTGGTTTGTATGTGGAAAACAGCATAGTCTATAGTTGTGTTATTCTGTTTTGTCCAAGACTGCTCTTTGGAGATGTGGCCTGATAATCACAAGGACAAGTTGTCAACAAGAGAAGATGGTAAATGACTTAGAGTGATTGTACTTGGACCCAGAACTGCAACCTCCCACTTGAGATGGTGAGAAATCTCTACTCCTCAGATCATGGTTAGTATGAAATGAAAGAGATTTGTTTTTCAGGTTTAGAAAGGGAATATTTTCACGTGCAGACCTTGTCATATGAGAAGATTAACTGTCAAGATTACTAAGAGGAACCACATTTCAAAAGATTAAGGTGAGGATGGACCGAGTTACTGTTAAGTTTATGTCATGTGACTCCTCTGTGTTGTCTCCTAAATATTCCAGTTTTCCTCAGAATACATAGATGTAATTTGTTGTTCTAAGTGGCCTTTCAGAAGACAGTTCAGTTTTTACAGTCTGCATTTAAGGTATGCACAGCAACAATGTTGCTTAGAAATCTGTAATAAAAACATTGCCTATCTAGAGCATGTGTGGACTTTTATGAATCTGGAACTCCATTTTTGAGTTTCACGGAACCTGCAATAAAAGTGTCAACAGCTAAGCTGAATGAACCAAGCCTGAGTGAGACTCTAGGCAAGCTTACTTGGCAACTGGGGTACTGTCAGCTGTCTGTTCTGTGAGGGCAGTCAATAAGCTGCTGGAAGATAGGGCCATTAGGCCTTCAGCTGTAGGGGGAGTTTTACTCCACGAGGAGCTATGGAAAGTGCTAGTCTGCCTGAATGAAGCGTCTTTTGAATTTGCCTAACAGGGAAAAATTATTTGGGCTGTCCTGGCAGACAAATAAATACTCTCTTGGTGGCTTCCCGTCCATCAAGAACTGACCAAATGCTTCATAGTAACTCAGTAAGGAGCTAGTAGACAGTGTTAAAATCTAAATAGCTGTACAAGTCACTTTTAAAAGCATCCCCTAAACTGCTTTTAGGTTAATTGCCTTAAAAGAGAAGTATAGATAAAAGTCTTATTTAAAAGGTCTCTCTTCGAATGCTTTTTCTCAAAACTTAGATGCAGCAAGCTGAGTTCAAGTCTGAACTACAAAAGTAAAATAAAATTTTGTTATACTGGGCTCAGTGCCAGCTTCACAGATGCACTCATTGCTACCCGTGTAAAAATGTTACAGATCTAGTACAGTTCTTTAATATGCACTGGCAGCTGTACGTGAGGCTATTTTAAACAATAATCTTCAAAAATAATTTTCTGTTGAGACTTTGCAGCACTTTTCTCTTGTAGGTGTTTCGTAATACAAGAAAACAATCAGCCAAACTCATGTTAATAGCAGTATTCTCAGCAGTACATAGCAGTATTCAGCAGAATTCATTCTCACCTTCCTCTTTTTTAGCTCGAGGTAAATGATTCAGATATACACTTTTTTATGGGAATACAAAGCATTTACATGCTGATACCAAATTACAGTCTCAGCCCTAGCTTGAAGGAATTTTGGAGTGGAAATTAGTATTTAGAACTGCTATTTTTCTTTAAAAATGCATTTTATAAGAAACATAAAAGTGCATTTAGGTTACATTAGCTATTTATATTTTTAGGTGGGAGTGACAGGAAAATTAACATGCTAGTATAAAAACATGCAATTTGCAAGCAAAACCTTTAGAGGCACCCCAAGCGTTCAAACAGCAGGCTCGCAAAGATAAAGGAGCAGAAGGCAAAGTGTGTCCCCCCCCGGCTTCAGCCTTCTCTGAATTGAAATCCAGTCCAGAACAACGCTGGGTAGCGCTGCCCGCACACTGTGCACCCCTCAGCGCTGCCCAGGGGGCTCGCTGAGCCGGGAGGGCAGGGAAGGCGCTGCCCTCCCCTCGGTTAACTTCTCACAAAGGGGGCTTGCGACTGGGGAGCCGTTTCGGAGCTGGGGGAGCGAGCCTGCGAAGGGCTGCCCGGCCCCCCGCCGCGCCGAGACCCCCCCTCAGCGGGGCGGTACCAGCGAGAGGCCCCCCCCAGCCCGAAGCGGGCACCTCAGCGCCGGGGGCCGGGCGCCGTTCCCCGCCCGAGGCGGCCGCTCAACGGCTCCGCCGCCGCTGGGCGCCGAGGCCCGGCCTTCCTGCCCTGCCTCCCCTCCCTCCCGGCCGCCTCGGAGGCGGGGCGCCGGCGTTCCGGTAGCGGCGGCGGCGGCAGCGGCAGCGAGCATGTCCTCGAGCAGGGCCAAGAAAGTGAAGATGGCCACCAAGTCCTGCCCCGAGTGCGACCAGCAGGTGAGGCGGCGGCCGGGGGGGCCGGGGGCCGAGCCCCCCGCCCTGCTGCCTGCCCCGGGCCCGGAGCGGCGGGGCCGGGCCCGCAGCACAGCGCAGCACAGCACAGCGCAGCGCAGCGCATCGCACAGCCCCGCCGCCTCCCTTCCTGCTTTCTCCGCCCGTGCTGTCTTGCTGGAGCTTTTGTGTCCTCAGCGGTAGCGTGAGGAGAGGTGGTGTCTGGGGGGGGAGCTGCGAGGCGGTGTTTGTGCGGAGTGCCTGGCCTGTGTTAGCGCTGTGTGCCTCTTGCTGCGCTGTGCCCAGGGGCTTGGTGTGGCAGGTACTGCCGTTCAGGCGCTAGTGCTGGGTAGTAGCTAATAATTCATTGAAAATCTGGTGAACTTTGGCATTGGTACAACGGCGCTCGGCCTCCGGATGACTCATGTGGCTGAGGCCGCTCGCTGGGCTCTTGGCTTCGTGGGGGGTTCAGGGGCAGCACCAGCGCGACCTGTGCCGAAATTTCTGTCAGTGGGGCCAGGCGTGTGCTGCCTGCAGTGCTTTAAGTGTGCAAGCTGCGGCCTCACTTGCACTTCAACATCACCGACAGTTCATTTGGTCTGTGACTGTATTCCAAGCTTGTCTTCATCTATGCTTTCTACTCGCGATGATGTTAGTAATAAAAATAGGTTGGCGTGTTACAGCAGCGCTCCTCCGCCGGAACAATGGCACAGCATTGCAGGAGGCTGCTGTGGGGCTCAGGGTAGGGAAGAAGGCTCTTACATCTAATTATGGGAAACACATTTGTTATGCGATCCTGAAACACGGCTGGTGTACACTACTGTAGATATACTTAGAAATAAATTAGAAAGAAACCCTCACACCATTTTTCTGTGTTTACAAGATCTTAAAAGGTAAGCTTAGTTGTTCTGACTTGCATAATTTTGACAGTGTTCCTACTCATCCTGGAGTGGTTTGGAATGTGAAGCCGTGCGGGGCTGTCCTTTCATGTTCTAGGCAGCAGATGAACCACTGCGAATGCTTCCATGTTAAGCACGTCACTCCAGTGCTGTTTCTGAGAAAAGAAAGTTACGTGCCAAGTTCTGGTGTGTAGTTTGTTGAAAGACAAAATTAAAAAGAGTTAGGAGTTGAGGATGAGAGTGGCATGTGTGTGTTTTCTGTTTCTCTTGGTTTTTAGTTTAATGTAAACGTCAAACTACCAGTGATGGGGAAGGCAAGTAAATATTATAGGCTTTTCAAGCTGATGCTGAAACTTTCACTCTGTTCTGCTGCTTAAAACTAAACCAGATGATACGCATATGTCAACACAGGCTTTTTGTTAGCAACTCTTCTGTAGCTAAACAAAGAATTATGTGCATGCTTGTCCTGCCCTGGCGTAAGGATGGCTCACAGGGCCTTGTTTTCCAGTGCCAAGTGCTCTCAGAGAGGACAAGAAGTAAAGCCTTGCCCTACTGCACTTAGATCTCAAAGCTTCTTTTGAAAGGGAGATTATTTGCCCCAGAATAGCTGGTTCAGGCTACTAGTCAGCCCTTTGCAAAGTGTGGGGGAGGTTCTCATGTGACACTTCAGTACAGGCATTTCCAAAATTCTGCAATAAACAAGGATTTTGCATTTGTTTCTGATTTTTGTGTTCAAGTGGTATGCATGGAAATATTTAGACAGCCACAAATATTGGAGTATAATATTGAGTAACACTTCTTAGACTTTAATTTTTTTTTATGACATTTAGATGATATGTAATTGCCATTTACAGTTTTTTTTTGTTTGTTTTTTTTTTTAAGAGAAGTGTTTTGATCATATTTTCACCACCAAAGCACAGCTCTAGTAAACTAGGGAGTCTGGAATACTTGCAGTCGATCATAGGAAATAATACTACTTACCTTTGGGTAATCTTTCTTGTATGAGAAGCTTGATCTATTTTGGCTAGGTAAACACTGAACAGAGTTAAAATAGTGTTTGTTAAAACTGTGTTGCCATAATAATAATTGTTACAGGATCTTATGTGTAGTAGGTCATTTTCAAAGGATGACCAATAAACTTCCAGGAGTAAGCCCCTTCCCACCTTACCTTGCCCGCAAATGACATGCACGTATCTAAGTGCCACACATTCAACATGGCAACCGTATTGCTCTGTTAAACAAGGTGAAGTTCATTGAGAAAATACTGGGTTTGCTCCAGTGCGCTTTGACTATTTCCCTCCCTTTCTTTAAGGCTGAGCCCAGAAAGGTGGAGAGACCCGGTTCATACTAGCAGTCCTGTATCACCGTAACAAGGCAGGTGACCGTCTGCTAGGTGGTGTGGTGCGATACCGCATTGTTCACGTGCCAATGTAAGACTAAGCATACAGGCAACTGTGATGAGTTTTAGAGGGTTAAATAAATAAAATATTGCCAGGGTTAAATAGACCTTGACTAGAATTGTTTTTAAAGTCACTGTTTACATCAGAGGGAATCAAAATGTCTCCAGTTAGTTCAACTGAATCAAAAATTGATTTGTAAGCTGCTCCTAAAATGAAGTACAGGAGTTAAGATGTGCTGCAGAAAGCAAAGTTGTTTCTTTATTCCGAGTAGCTGGTAAGTTCCTCTTTAAAATTAATGTACTATTTTTACATTTGTTTTTCTAGCCGTTAGAACACTGGAAACTTTCTTCTGCATGTCTGGTAAAATTCAGCAGACAGTCATCGTTCTGTACTCCTGGTTGTTTCAGTGGACAGTGGCAAACTTGTAGAGACCTGTCATAAAGAATTACCTTTGAGAAATTACGTCCTGCTTCTTTTCTCTGCTGTCCTGCTGCAACATGACTTGATTTTAATGGGTGTTATTTTAATCTCTTCTAGATCTCTCCTTTATACTTGCTTTAATTTGTGTTTTCAGTCTTAAACCTAATCAGAGCAATATGGTATATTCTTTACTGCTTTAAAATATCTCAAAAGATCTTGGCTTTAAGTGAAGATACTGGGTTTTGTAATTTATCAGCCTTGCTTTTTTTAATTGCTTGGAGTAATTTTTTTCGCATGGTTTGTGTAAGTGTGGCATTTCCAAATTTTTCTCATCTTGTTTTAAATTGTGTGCTGCTCTGGGCTGCTCAGCTGTGGTCAAGAGAAGCTCTTTAGCTTCTCAAACTCTTCAGTCTGCAGTCAGCTTTTGACTAGCCATGGTAGCTTGTTTGCATTTGGAATTAACTAGGTTGTTCTGCGACTACCTGGCCTTGTCTACAACCTGTTGTAGATTGTGGTACAAATGCATCTGTTTCGCTTCAAGCTCTGTTGTGCCTCCTGTCTAAAGCTGCTCTGCTCACAAAGAGTTGATTTTGAATGTTTCTGAGGTTGAAAGTACTCAGAATGCATCATTGGCAGTTTTAATTTACACTTTTTTTTTTTTTTTTTTTAATAAGTGAGGAAAGCAAAACTAGGGATGGCTTATTGTTTTGACTGGGGATATTTGAGAGCTCTGAAAATACATTCCTATTCTAATTCACTCCAGTTTTGGTGCTTTCCATTTTCCCTCATCCTCTTTCTGAGAGCCTGGGGAAAAGGGCTTGGTGTACAAAATGGTCACAACAGCTATGCATTTCAAGCTTGGTTTCTAACTACTGCATAAAGAGAAGGCTTGCTGGGTGTTTTACTAGTTTTGCATACAACTAGATAATGATCCAGGCCGTGGTTTTTCAGTACAGATTAAGTATGAAGAGGTATCATACTGAGGGCGCAATGCAAGCTACTGTTTTTTTCATCAGGCAGGAATTCTGTCATAATTTGAAATGATCTGAAATGCTTTTTTTTTTTTCCCAGGTTCCTGTTGCATGCAAATCATGTCCCTGTGGCTACATATTTATTAGTCGAAAGCTCTTGCATGCGAAACGTGCTGAGAGATCACCACCCATTGCAGGTAATACCGACGAAGGTCCAGAAGGAGGGGACAACAGCTCTTTCTCTTTGTTTCTTGGAAGCAGAGCACAGAATATTTTATGTCTCTGTAAATTAGCTGGTGTCAGTTCACTTTCTTTTGAATTTTTGCCTATTAGATTTAATGTTTCTTCAATTTTGAGGGGGAAAGTCTGGTGTTTTCAGTCATTTCCTTTGTACTTGTGATGTTGGCATTATCCAGCTGCTCGCATTAGTCACTATGCAAAATAACTCCTTACAGACAGCTTTCTGTTAATCATGTTTTGAAGATCAATGTCTACATGTGCCAAAGAGATCAGATTTCACAGTACATGCTGATTGAAACTGGGTTTTCTGAAAGCAGTTATCCTCTTGTTTGAAGAAGTTATGCTAAATTGTACTTATTCATGCATACAAGAATGGAACTTTGTATAAAATTGGGAGTATGTCTGATTTCAGACCTGGTGTGTCTTGCTTTTTTCTGCATGATTAAATTTAAAATTTAAATTTAAATTTAAATTAAAAAAAAAAAAGAAAAAGATTTTTTGTGTCCAACTCATGTCTTTTGTTGTTGATGTGCATGTTTAGATATTGGTTGAATGTGCTTTCTGGCATGATTAACGTTCTCTTTATGTTCAATTTCTATTATTTCCTCAAGTCCTAGTAGGATTTAAGGAGAACAAGCACCTGTGGGGAAGATGTTTTTGTTTAAATAATCTGATTTATATTGTTTTTCTTTTTTCTTTTTTTTTTTTAATTATCTAAGAGGTATACAAAAATAAGAATTTGATACGTTTAATTGCTATTTTGAGGGGTACTTGTAATTCACTAACTAGTAGGAATTACATGATCTCATGCTAGATAACTGAACTTCAAAGGTGGGACAGGTAAAAGCAAAGTCCATAGTACTGTCTGGAAGGGTTGGTCAATTTTCTTTTCCCCTCTCCCCAGCTGTTTTAAATAAAACTTACCAAATTAAATTGAAGGCCATAGTATCATACTATAGTAGAGCAAAGCTCCTGTATAATACAGCTTTAGTATTAACATTAGTGACAAGTTAACCTGCTGTCCAACTCATGGCCTGTGTCTATGTGAGATAACTGAGATAAGAAGCAAAAGGAAACTTGATTCCCCAAGAAGATATATGTGTGTCTGTATTGTGCTCATAAGTGTAACCGCAGCTTCTTTAAAAAAAAAAAACAACAAAAAACAACATGGTTCAAGTATTTTTACAGTGTAGTTACTGTAGGTGCTCCAGCCTTGCAAGTGTGCAGCTGGTTTGTGTTGAATAGCGTGCTGTGGTTGGTATACTATTTTCACTACCCAAGCTCACTAATCCATACTTAACTTTCAAGTGAAACTCATGCGAATGCTCTTTCTCAAGTGTGTAGGCAGTCAATATACCTGTTCAGCATCAAGTAAAATGAGGCTTTGTCTTAGGCTGGGTTTGTTAGAGAGATATGTTATGTAATATGATGTCTACTGATAGCATCACAGAATCAGTATCTCGATTTGTGTGAGCAGGGGGAACAATTTCAGTGTTAGTGTCAAAAGAAGTAGTATTTTACTGTTCTGCTCTATGATAAACTATACATTTTAAACTTTGGTGTTTTTTTTTTTTTTTGTTTTTTTTTTGGACTAATGGAAATAGATGCAGTGTACCGTCTTGATGGCTGTGATCTTGTTGTACGTCAGCAGGTGTCTCATATTGCAAAATGCTATTTGCATTTGAAGTAATTAAAGGCTTGATCCCTGTAATCAAGAAATGAAGTATCATGCTGCATTTGACACCTTAATTTCTGTGTGGATATCATGCAGATGTAATTGTTCTGTAAAGGTACAGACATGTAAGATTTAAAGGAAAAAGATTGTTGGGAGGGGTAAGCATGAAGAGTAAGTTAGAAGAAAGTCGAAGACAGTCATGGCTCACATCATATCTCTTCGTTTGTGCAGAAAACAAGAGTGAGGCCAAAAGGAGACGAACCGAGAGAGTTAAGCGAGAGAAGATAAATTCTGCAGTAAATAAAGATTTAGAAAACCGAAAGAGATCAAGGTCTAACAGCCATTCAGATCATAGCAGACGAGGAAGAGGAAGACCTAAGAGTGCCTCAGCCAAAAAGCATGAGGAAGAAAGAGGTATGCAAATTGGAGACACATGTTCACTGCTTTTCTTATTTCTATGAAGATTTTCTTAACTGTTGTGTTATCAGTAAACCTTTACAAACAATGTAACTAGTCTAGTCCTGTCAATACCTTGTGCTACAACACGGAGAAGGGTCTGTTGCACATACATAGGGACCTTTGGTTTTATGAAGCTTCTGTGCCTGATAGGAACTAAATCTAAAAGATTAAATCAGTATTTTTAGTCGCTGTACCAAGTTTCATCACACAGGTTGAAAGCCATGGAACAGTAATGCTTAGTGTGTGTTTTTTTTGTTTGTTTGTTTGTTTTTGTTTTTGTGGTACCACTGTGCTAGATCACTAGGACAAACAAGATAATGACGCTTGTTGGCAGAGAGTAATTAGGATGACTGGGTTGCTTAAAAAGTTCTTGAAACTCTTTAGGGGGCCCAAAGTAAAAAGGACATCTTTTGTCACAACTATGACTTGAAGTTTTACCTCATGTTTCTATAGAATAATATTCCAGAGGAAAGAATGCCTCTTTGCTTATTAAGGTGCCTTGGTGATCTGCTCTTTTTAGTCTTTATGCAATAGCGACAGCTACATGCACTTGAGTAATATTGGCACCCTTCAGACATGTGGCTATCACCTAAGACTCCTGTCTTTTAAAAGCCTGTTGGCATTGCATTTGCTATCGTTGTTACATGTGGCTTACTGATGTGTGTATCTTCATAGTTTCCCTATTATTGATCCAAGCTGGACTTGTCTACATACACCTACAGGATCATTTTGAGGCATTTTACCATCAGTCTAGTTCACACACAGCTTTGGTGTGAAACTTCTGCAAGCTTGTTGGGTTGTCATTATACAGGTAAATCTTCTTTCCTGGCCCCAAAAAAGAGGAAAGCAATTTAAGCAAAGGAAAAGATCCATATTCTTTGTGCGTGCTTAGTAGTCTCTGAAAAGCAGGAATTTGAAAACATGAGGAATGGAAAACTAGGCTGGATGTGTTTGACTTCATTCTGCATACTCTGAGGTGTAACAGTGTGCCAGTAATCTGAGGTGGAAAACCAGCAATACAAATGCAGTGAGGTCTTCACATAAGAGCGCGTATGTGGTTGTGCAGTTTTTGTCATTGTTGAATCTCACGTGAGAAGATTTCCTTAATCTTCTTGTCCTGTCCTACCATGCCCTTCACTGGTACTGTAATTACTGTTACTGTTTCTTTGTTGACCTCTTCTGCAGAACCAGGTACAGCGCTTGGGTTCATGCCCACTGGTAATATATTTGCTCCTCACCAGTACAATACACGTCATTAGCCAGGAATAAGTGGGCTTATGATATTACTTCTGGTTATTGGGCAGATATTTTTTTTAAAGATTCAAATGGCTGCAATGGTTATAAAAATGAATTCATCAGAGCACTCATTATCATGTAAGCAATTACTATAAAACAAGTTAACATTGACTTCTCCTTTTTTTGTGGTTTATAAAATTGGCTTAGCTGCTATGTGGGGAGTAATTAGTGGGAATTTTAGAAACGTTCTTCCTTCTCTGTTCCTGCTGCTTGGTAGTATTTTCTATGTAAAAACATGCTAAGCAACTTTAATTCTACTCTAGTTAAGGTGATTTTTGCATGACTCACATTGCTAGTCCTTGTATCAGTCAGCATAACGTTGAAAGTGTTCAAAGTCAGGTTGGACAGGGCTTTGAGCAACGTCATCCTGCGAAAGATGTTCCTGCACGTAGCAAGGGGGTGGACTAGGTGACCTTTAAGGGTCCCTTCCAGCCCAAAGAACTCTCTGATTCTGCAGAGGTTGGCTCTGGAGTGTGAGACAGTAGTTTTGTGTTAGACTTCAAGTATGTTATTTCCTTGCTGAATTATGTTTCTAGGATATTTTGGGTACACTTTGCTTGCCACTAGAAAGTGCTCCTCTTCCCCCACAAAAGACTTGAAAAGAGGCCATTGCTTGCAAGGCTCCTAGATATTTGATGCCTGTTAGGTTTCAGCAATGCCTAATGCATTTGTAGAACAACAACAGGTGGACAGAGAATAACTGAATTAAAATAGCATGCAAGAGTAGATAATTTGTCCATTTGAAGACCACCCAACTGTGAAAATTTCCTTCCTAAAAAACACCCGTGACATCTGTAGCCTTGCTTCCCTGCTTGTGCAATGCTCTTTTCATACATAATCTTTTGTTCCTGTTAGCCTGTGCCTTTGACTAGTTCTTTTGTATCCTTCATGACTGGTTCGCATTAGAGGAAGGAGCTGTAGAATTCAACAGCAATTAAGAAAAGAAGAATGGGAAAAGCAAAAGAGCTTTTTAAAATAAGCTCTTTTTCCTGCAGATTCAGTAAGAAGGAATAGGGGAGGAGGAAAAAGGAAGCAGACGTAGATTGAGGGGATATGGCAGAGCTCTGGGACCCAGAGGATACTTCAGTAACATGTCAGAGCCATGTGATGACCCTGCAAAAACAGGAGCTTCTCACTGAAGGCTTGGTTTGTTGAAAATGTCACTTTTTTTTTTTTTTTTTGGTCAGAAATGCTAAGATACATTTTGAAAGTAGAAACACTTCATAGTAATCTGGTTTTGATGCTGTTTTGGTATGGTTTTGTTTTGTTGTGTGGGACTGTACAGTAAATTGCTAGACTGATTATCAGGCTGCTGTCTTATCTAGGTAGCAACCTTGATTGTATTTAAGAAGAAAGGGGAGGGGAAACGTAACAAAACCACTCCAAAACTGTATGCTTCAGGAAGTGGTATTGGTTATTCTGTTCCTCAAAGAGGTTACCATCAAGTGAGACTCAATAATCGGCTCCTAAATAAAGGAGTGGATCTTGTAAAGATATTACACTGCGGTGCTGTGATGCTACTTAAACTGAAGTAGTAAAATTTTTTGACCCAAGTTTTTCCTTCCTATCAATTTTCTACTGCATTATTTGTGTATTTGCTCGCCCAATGTGTACACTTGAAGCAGTGTTCTGTCTTGGGTAGCCAGAAAGAATTCAGAGAATCGAAGCACTTTGCATTTGATTCCATGCAGAACTTGTGAGGAGTGAGGGTCCACGTTTGTTTTATGCACAGGTGACAATTTAAAGGGCTGTAGGTCCAGTGTATTGGGTGGGATCTGGGGACATGAGACATGCTTCAGAAAGCCTGCATGTTTTCACCTAAGTAGCCTCTTAGTTGTATAGCAAAATACTTGATCTTTCAATGTCTTAAAGAAATGGTACTGCGATTCTGTAAGACAGTCTTTAGCTAATAATAGAGAAGTGAGTCAAAACTACTTTCAGATAGGAATGTGAAGTGGAAAGTTTTAATAGTGTCTGTAGAAACCATGGTATCCTATGAATAGCATGTGATGAAATGTCAGCCAGATGCAAGCTCTTCACTGGCTACTGATGAGAGCTGAAATTGTCTTAAGAATGCATAAAGCTTGCAAACCTGTGTTAATTCCCAGTACTGTTGGATATCAAGATTTCAACTGATTCTTCAAAACTGAAGTCTGTCGGAACTGGCCAGTACTGCAGAAGGGCAGGAGAGAAAGGAAATCTGGGAAAGTCTGGTGAAGAAGTCTATAAAGCTAACATTAAATGGATGAAAAAATTAGTAGTTTTAGCTTTGCTGGGTGCTGACACATTTTGGTGGCGTCTAGGTTTGCCTGGATCAGGAAGTCTGAAAAAAGGGGAGGGTTATAGATACGAAAACGGAAAAGATTAATGTGGAATAAGTAGTGTGTATACAGCGTCTGTACTCAGAACAACTCCCTGCATTGTTAGTTTGGAAATGGGGGGAGGGAGGAGGTGGAGCAATCCAGACTGTGTACACGTAGAAATAAATTTGTCTCAAAGTACAGGGAAGGACTTGTGGTGAAACTGTTTTTTAACTTTCATTTCAAGCTCAGTACACTAAAGAATATTGTTTTTTTTTGTAGCCAAGGAACCAACAGAAATCACTTGGGTTCCAAATATCAAACATGCTTTGCTTTGTAGTACTTTGCTATGGCAAGTTTCATGTCTGAAGTTTAAATGCTGATACGTCTTGGTGTGTCCAGTCTTCCCTGCAGGGAGAATGTGTACGATTTTAAGTTGCCTAGAAATCTTTAGGTAGAGGGTTTTGGTGCTAGTATCTAGATCAGCATTTAGTCAGAGCACAGCAGTAAAGGACTTTTCAGTTTCTCCCACTTAGTTTAACACATGCACTTGACTTCCAAGGGAAGGGAGGCTGTTGGAATGGTGTCCTTGTCTGTAACACAGTCAGATGTAAAGCCAAATGTAAAGATGCTGTTAAGAGTATGAACCCAGTAGAGGATCAACAGTGTGGGTAGGTGAGCATGAAGGTCTCCTCCCATCTAGATGACTTCAAGGTGATCAAGTCAGACTGTCACTCCAACCTACCAAGTCCCCATCACTAAACTGTGCCCCTTAGTGCCATAAGGGCACAGGGGGTCTTTTTCCACATGGTGCTTTTATGTAATGAAATGCTCTCTGTCTTATTAGTGAAGAAGGGCTTGGTCCATTCTTGCAAAACTTTTTGGACCTGAGCTCAGGGGAACTTACTGTCTTTTGTGCATGTTTTTCTCTACTGCCTAGGTACTATGCTACAGGTTTTACTTGGTCAGAGATGAACAACTGTTAGCTTGTTGAATAAACACCATTACTTTCCAATCAAACATTTGTATTTCACCTACCCATTGATGACTTAAACGTCTAGGTGGAGAAGCCTGTCAGAGTGTACTGCACTCAAAAAGTGTGCACGTGTGTGTGTGTTAATGAGACAAGGGTCAGGTGAACGTCATATTCTGATTGCAAATCAATCTAGGGCACTTTGGAACTTGGAGTAGAAATGGAGCCCCACAGCTAGACACCAATTTTAGAGCTGTGTGTTATGTGTGTTTCTCTCTTCTGCATCTACAAGCCTGGTCTTCAGCTGATAAAACTGTTTTAGTTTTGTTTGCTTTCTTCTAATGAGTCAGATACCTGGGGCTAGCTAAACTGGAAGATGAATAGGA